TAGAGATACTAATTACTATAAAAATGTATGGTGGATAACGTTTACATACAAAGATTTTAGAATATTTAAGGCATTTCGTGACCTTTTACTTATCTGAAATATCTGCAATGAATAAAACAAGTTATTTAAATTATTTTGATATTAAAAATAGTACGATACCCGTAAAATATCGGCGTTCGTGTTCATTTGAAAATTGCTCGTGCAAGAATCGAATTTTTCCTATCGTTGCCAAGGCAAGATAATTCACAGCTCATTTTCCAAGTTTAGAGGCAGTTATCAGAGCCCTCTATTGGGAGAGTTGGGACAACGGGTCTGGGGCGAGCGTGGAGCCGCCATTTTCGTTCTTACTTGCAAGTTAAACTTATTTATTTATTTATTTACGTTTATTTAACACGATAGTATCTCAACTTGGATCCTAAAAATTGTATCATTAAATTCTCTAATTGCGCTTTTCTCCTTGCCTCTAAGGGGTCCTAAGAGAGTTTAGCTTTTACAGAGTCTGAGGCAGATTTATAGCAATCACTTATAATGAAACTGTGTGAAATCGGCTAAATGAGCAAAAGAATGAAGCAATTCCGCCTTCTCTAATAGAAATTTTAAATATATCGGAAACCACAATCAAGCTTTTGGCGTTTTTGTGAATAATTATTGCAAACCAAACTCATGCAATTTTATGGATTTGAGCTACATTCGCAGTTGACTAGTTCGTGCTTTGAAACTAATCGTGACCCACTTCTAGGCGTTTTTACGTACGTGAACGTATATTTTGGCAGTTTTCACCAGAAGCACCAAGATATTTGTTTTCATTGCTTATAATTTACCAGCGATAAAGAAAATACTCCACATTTCGGTTGCATATTCTTGGCCGGGAAAACACGTAACTAAACATACGTCCAGATCTGAATCAAAGCTTTGGCAGGTATAAGGTATGTCAAAATAAATCACTGCAGCTTATTTTTGGTTGTATTTAAATTTTGAAACCGTAGAGCGACTTAACTGGTAAAAATATATTCTGTAGAAATTCATCACTATTATAATTCATCATCATTCATTATTATAAAACTAAAAAGTATTTCGAATTTACAATTGAGATGCTATAATTTATTTTGACTTAAACTGTGTCTGCTATTAAATCAGTGTTTTCCATAGTTGGACAAGGTTTTGTTTTGAAGCACTGTAGTCATGAAATTTTGCTTAGGTAGTACATATTTTGCAATGTAATCCAGGCATGAAAATTTAATGCAGACAGATTACAAAAAGTTTTTTGGTGGAAAATTATGCACTTAAAATATTTGTTGGATGCAGTAGCTCTTTAATATTGTAATAATCTAATGTGAAATTTTTAATTTCTTTATTGCTTGTGAAACTGTGATTATAGCTAAAGTTGAATTTTAATGCAGAATGGTATATTCTTCTACTTGGTGAGGCATTTGTTGAAAAGAAAATTCTTGTTTGTGCATTATAAAACAATTCTGTTGTTGAAGAACAGTCTTGCTACAATGTAACTGTTTGTACAGACTTTGATATTGCATATGAGTCTTATCCAATTTTTAATCTAGCTTAAAAAATTAATAAGTTGAGTAATGACAAAACTTCTGCATGTTTTTCAAAATTATAAAGACCAAAGACCACACCAAATCATTGACTATTTAAAGACCAGATCAAAGCATTGATAAGCCAATTGAACATGCTCTGGTTTAAAGTACAGACAGCGTGATACGTGGTGAAGAGCTTGTAAATTAGAGTCAGATTTCAGAACATAATGATAATTTATAATCTTTCTATAAAGCACAGGCTTTTGATGTTGAATACTATTGAATCGTTAGCATTAGGGAAAACTTTTCTAATGATTTTTGACTCGAAGACAATCTTCGTAAATAAACCTTCAGTTAAGAGCAGTTTGACACAATGGTCTCTACGAGCAATCCAATCTACCGTAAAGCCATTTCTTTCTACTTTCCTTATTCCTGGATTCAGGTGATATGTAGTTACACGTTTTAGCTATCAAATAATCAATTATTGAAGCTATATCAACAGTTCACTATATGAACTTTTTTGTTCACAAAGCTTCAGCATGAGAAATTGTATTACCTTGTAATAAACTACTATCCGAAGTTGAAAACACCTTTATGTTTTCTTTCATATTGATATAACAGTAGCTGTTGGTTTGAAACAAAGTACTTCTGTTTAAAGACAGGACAAACATAAAACAAGACGATACTTTGATGATGATCAAGATTATAGTAATGCAACCAGCTTTTCCACTGTTTCTGAATTTAAAATGATTGCAATACCATACATGGTGAAATACACAGCTCCAAATAAAACCGCCTGCCCTACTTTGTTAAGAAGCTGTTGATTCAAAAAATTACAAAAGTGAACCTGTTTCCTGTCTTTAAAAGACAAGAGCATTTTGTTTTAAACCAAAAGCTATTGTTATATAAATATGCAATAAAACAGAAAGATGTTTTTAACTTCTGATGGCAATTCACCACAAGGGAATACAATTCCTGATGCTACAACTTTGTATAGACTGTACTTGATGCATGTTAAATACCTTTGTCGAAAACTATGGAGGGTGTTCTCCGCCAAAATTAAAAGCTATATTTTCAATTACTAATGCGCATTTTGTCCTTTGCAATGTGCATGTTGTCTTGATCATATTCCATTCTGGAATTTCATAATCGGATTTTGTCCTGTACAATTTCTGTTAAAACGCATTTTGTTGTTGAACATTCCATTATGATGACGTAACATTATTCGTGACTCGCAAAACATCAAATTTTACTCAGTCACATTATAATTTATTTATAATTTTTACCGCCAAAAATTGTTAATATCAATAAACTATTCTGTTGCAATATTTTATGCAATAACTACAACGATCTTTGTCCTTCGAAGCAACTTTAGTATTCTGTAGAAAAGAAACGATTTTTTTGGTATGGGGGATGATAATGGAGCGAAAAATCGATAGGCAGCAGCTTTACTTTGCCGAGCAGCAAATTTACTGAATTCAGACTCTTCTGGATCAGCAAGTCTTAGATCTTCATCGACTGCTCAAGATGGTAATCTTACTACTGTGAAATTGGCACCACATTGGGCCACATTCAACACAACATTTATCACAGCATTCATCCCCACATTCAACTAAAATTTATCATTCAAAATGATAAATTGAAAAATCGTCTTTAAAATACGTTTTCCATCAAAAACAACAGTAAAAAACAATTCTTAACTACTTATTACTATTTTACTGTCCTTACAAATCCCAAAAAAGTATAAAAGTCAAGAAATTGAAGAAAAACTAAGCTTTATGTTACAGTGTACTCTTCATTTCTTTTATTTAGCGTATAATTTAAAAACTACAAGGTAGAATTTTTTTAAACTTTTGCATATTGTAGTTATTTATATTGTCTAAAATATATCCAAAATCTGGAGAGTGCACAAAAAATAAGTTGTAGAAAATCATCCACAAAGTTGGGTGACTAATATGTGCGTAATATAATGTTATATATGAAAGAATGTTGTATGCAGTGCGGTGTTTTGAAATTAAATGAAGATATGATCTTCGCACTTTGCTGGACAATTTAAGCAATTTAAGTTGGTCAGAGCACTGCACCGGCACCGCAGAGGTCATGGGTTCGAATTCTGTTAAGTCACCTGAATTTTTCAGGTTCATGAGACAATTGCTTAAATTGTCCAGCAAAGTGCGAAGATCATATCTTCATTAATAATCTTATTTAATTAACTTCCTATATCCATGTGTTTTTAAACAAAGGCCTGTCAATAAAAAACTACACCTATCTCTCACCTATATACATTTAGTTTGATAATAAACATGGCGGACGAATTAGGTCACTTTTATATAATCTGCTTGAACATGATCGTTTATAGCATCATAAACATTTTTTGCAATGTATGAAAATGCAGATCTTGATATTCAAAACTGAAAACTTAATGATCTATATGATTTCCCAGTGGCTAAAAAATGTACGGTCAATGTTAATCTTTCTTGTTTGTAAATGTAGATCATCCAAAACATGTAACGATACTCCCGGGTTCAAACCATTTACTTTGTTAATCTTTCTACAGTTGTGATTACTTTGTGACCACCACAGAAAGCAATGTCTTTTTCAATATATCGTAATAACGTTTAAAATCGTCATAGCTCATTCGCATCATTTCTTTATATCCTATGGTATCTTCCATTCTTAATTCCTGAACAATGTTGGTAAAATAGCCCTTTTCCTTTCTTTTCTTCATCCATGGTCTTGTCTTTCTTCTTATCCAAACTTCTTTTATTTTCCTCTAGAAGTTCTACTACACATAACGCAGCTACACAACGACAAATTTTTTGATATCGATGAATTTCAAAATTAGTGCCCGCCATATTTATTCGAATTGCGTAATGTTTAACCATCAATGATGTAAAATGTTGTTTTAGTTCGACCAGTAGGGCACAACAACGTACAACATCTTCCAACGAAGTTGGATGGTGTCAGCGGAAAATGTTGCGCTCGTTTCACCAGGGCTTTATGCAATGCATACAGGTGTCAGTGCGTAACCTATCAAGTATAAAGCTAAAAAATGAATAGATTAATTTAACACATATATATAAATAAAACTATATATTTAATACTATTTACGTCAATTTGTTTAAGATTTGAAAATGTTCTTAGTTATATGACCAAGTAATTGTTCAACCCTTTTTGCATTTTCTGAACGCCCTAGTTTCGATTGCATGTTCCGTGACTGTGCTCACACGCCTCACATGAAGGCAAAAGACGTCATTTACATTTCTCTCCACCTTTAATTTTTTTTTCACCATTTTAGCTATCTCTTTGTTTCACAACAGTTTTCTAAAAAAATTGCTTCCAATTAGCATATAGTTTTAGACAAAATATGTGATGCAAATTAACATATCTTATGATTATAGCATGATTTTATTACGACAATTTTTTCCGAACACAAGGCAGTCATGCAGAAAATTTGATCCCGTAATGCATAGCTTTATTACTTATGAATTTAGTCACGAACAATTTATTTTCATTGAGTCTTCAACCGTGGATATATATTGAACAAGTCAACTGAAAGAGGTATTGAACAAGTCAATTGAAAGACGTAATAAACTGTTTAATATGTATTGACTATAGACTTTAAGCTAAAATAAATCCATCTTTAGCTGAATGCCGCAATTTTTACATCTCATAAAAATTGTCATCACTCGTATTACTGTCACTAAATAATTTTGATATCACTAATTTCTATATCTATAATCTTTTACATGCTTCAAGGCAAATGTGAAAATTTATAGTAATAACAGTTGACTTACTAAACTGGACGGCACATTTGGCAATCTTTGTAGTGTACTTTTGTGATTGAATTCGTGAGCTAACAAGTTGTTTTGCTATGTTTATCATGAACGGGTTGCTTTATGAAATTTCTATTTTTTGTAATTCCTTTTGATATTTTATACATATTGCTCAAAGAAATCATAGAATTAACTGAAGATCATTTCATAAATTCCTTGTGTCTTGTGGTAAGAGCAATCACAGTTTATGATCATAAGGTTTCTGTTCTAAACATGAGTTTGCCGTTGGATTAAGAAAAGTTATCGAGTGATGTTGCTATAGGTTTTTTAAACGTACTCAAGTGAAAAAGAAAGTCCTATTTAGATTTGCTCGTGCTTCTTAAAAAGTTATTTGGCAAACATTGGGAAGTGTTTGGTATGATTTCTGTGTACATATATTAAATTACTTCTTAATGAAATTCAGTCAAGTTACTTTGTCGCTCATATGCGTAAAGTGCTTCTTTGTCGTTTGCCATAATCTAAATTATATATTCAAATGTCCGTTTTTTGATGCAATATTGTATGTCGTTAAGACATAGATTTTTTTTACATATTTACTAAAAATAATTTAGCAATTCTTGGTTTCACCGGGGAAGTAATGTATTTTTGTGAAGCTTGATATGGAAAATATAATTAGCAAAATTCGAAAGTAAACCTCATGCATGCTTCATGGTTTGATGTTGCAATGTTCAGACTGCGTTATTGACTAACTCGTGTACTGTGTTTTAAGTGCTTTAATTTGATGTGTGTTCTCTATCAACTGTTTTTATCTTTATGTTTTAGCAACGACGAAATGAATTCTTTGAAGTGCATCATGCTTTTTCTGGCATTTGTTCAATTGTCGAAAACCTCACCTGTTATTTTCTGGGAAGACTTCGAAAAACGAGGTAAATTTTATTTGAAGAATAAAAGTGGGAGCGTACTTATAATCGAAAATGTAGATATTGCTTGTTGTTTTTGTATTAATGTAAATATGCTATTTAGTTTTGTGATGTGATGTTTTTGACGAGTATGTTTAACTTAAATTTGGACTAACTTCAAAAATTCAAAATTACAATTTATGGTCATAAAATTATGCGTCTCAGATATTTCACGCAAAATGATATGCTTTGTACAAAAGTAAAAGTAACAAGAAAACTAATTTTCCAAGCTAATTTATCTTCAGTGTTAACCTTGTTCTAAGATAATGAAAAATGAGCTGGCAATCAGTGCTTAAAACCTTCATCAATAGCATTCGTATTTTCATTAATTTAAGCTTCCATTTATCCATGTTTGAAAACAATTATGAAAATTATAAAATGGCACTTAGAAAAGGGAAAAATGCAAAATAATCACTTGCAATTTGAATGCCTATATAGCGTTCACGTACGATTTAAATACGTACGCGTAGCCAAATTTCCTGAAACTATGTTAGCTTGAAAAAATGTGCCATATTTCAACTCCATTCTTTCTATTTGCTTTTCAGCTTTGTCACTTTTGTGCGCAAGCTATTTCAAAAGTTTTTCTACATAGCACAATCCACACTCTAAAATTGCTATTGTTTGCAACATTTTTACAGTTAGATGAAACAATGGAAGTCCCATCAGGCACGTAGCCAGAACGATAATTTGGGGGGAGGCATATTCATTTATGCAGGACATGCCGTATCAGTTTCTTTTGAAATTAATTATTTTTTACGGACTATAAAACGAATAAATGATATGCCCCCCCCCCAATTATCGTTCTAGCTACTTGCCTGAGTCCAACTACCTAATCCAAAAATGGCTTTTGCAGATTTTGAGTGTTGTTCACTTTAGTGATGTTTTCCTAAATATTCAGTTTTTTTACACACCTTAATTGCAGCTATAGTTCTGTTCATTTATTCACGTATCAATAGTCGTCAATGAAGGAATGATATGAGCTTGTGTGATGAATTGAACACTCTTTTTAAGCGTAAGGTGGACAAGCATCATTTATAGACGTAAAAAAATACAGATTGTTTTCTTAGTGCAAGAAACAAGGCAGGTTAAAGTATAAATGGTTTATTACTTTATTTTTTAGATAAAACAAATGCATCATGCCGTTGTTCAAATGGAAAAACTGGTACTTTTCGGTATGCTCAATGCTTCAATGGGGAGAAACGCTGTAATGCCGATGTAGTCACTTTCTTTGTATGCTGCATTGGACAATAACTGTACTGTAAACGATTCAGGAAATTGAACTAAAACTGAAAATGAATGTCATTTGCTAATTGAATGTTAAATCATATCATATTGTTATATTTGGATTCTAAAATGTTCTTTAACTATGAAGTTTGCCTTAAAAATGAAAAATGCTAAGAGCTCATCGGCCTGCCATGTTTTTTGTTGAAACATTCATGGTATGTTTTTTTATTGCACACATCGGAAGCATGTTGCATCATTATACAAACACTAAACTAATGTTTTTTATAACATATATTAAAGGTATGTTTTTTCATTGCATACACTGTAAGCAGACGCGAAACCAGAACGCTATTTAGGGGAGGGTGCCTATTCATATACTTGGTTACGCCCTGCTGATTTCTTCTTAAAGCTAATTTACTTACAAAAGAAATCAGTAAGGCACAACTGAATATATGAATATATTTCCTCACTCCAATTAACGTTCTTGTTTTGCCCCTGACAGCAGGCATAGTTTTTCTACATACATATTATAATCCGATTTTTATGCGGCATTCATAAATAAATGCTATTCCTATTGATTGTCGACTAGTGCTCTTGATTGTTCCTTTGTGTCGATAAATATGCTACAGCGTTATTCATAAGTCAATGCGTGTAATTGAATGTCCAATGTGCTCAAAAGATGGATAAATGAGGGTACAAACGGCTTATTTCATCAACATTCAGCACAACTTCTTAAATATTTCATTTCAAAGGAACTTAATTTGGCAGTATGCAAGTATGAGTACCGTAACTGCTCCCTTTAGCGCCGCACTCAGAATCCAGAAAATTTATTTAGCGCCACTTCCGGTTAGGCACCGCATCTGAGTAACTTTACAGTGACTTTTATTGTTTGGAGTAATTAAAATATTTGGCGTGAACCTTAAGTTAAAAATTATTAATAAGCGCAGTTCCCACCTAAGCACCGTCCCGGGTAAGCACCGCATTTAGAATCGGAAATATTGAATGAGCACCATGGTCACAGAACAGATACATAACAGAAACGCCACTCGATGTCGGAACCTTTGATGTTTGTGTCCCCTGTTTTGAGTTCTACAATCCACCAATAGAATGCTTGAATAGCAATTTGCAAAACATATACTGTCATATGGTCCACATGACTTAACTTTGTTATTTCTGCCTTTTTAAATTCAATCAGGAGATTATTTATATATTTGACATAGATGCTTATTGATGATGTGAGAAGTGAACATAAAAAAGCTTCCTGAATGCTTTTGTGAATAGGGTTGGTGTTGGCATGGTACAGTTTCCCCCTGTTGTCAAATGTTTTAAAAAAGTTTCCTGGTGTATCTGTGTTTCACCGTTTGGTAAATATTTTACTGTGTAAAGTATTAAGATTTAAATAAAGACATTACGAGTAACTATAACTGGTTTTTGTCACGTTAAGTTCTGTTTGTGACATGATTATTTACAATAAAAATTTTAATTTATTGAATGAAGTTTATGGATTTTAGCAAAAATTAATAGTTCGAGCCCTTTGTTGCAATAATTTTTCTCTGCTGGTTGATCAATGTGATGAATCAAACATAATTCTAATCATTTTTCACATACAATTGTTGGTCACAACTCACAAGGGAAGTTTAACCAAAGAGCTAAGCTGTAGGAGCTTGACAAATGTTTGACAAAATGACAAAGTTGTTCATTTAATTGAAACAAATTTATCAATAACTTCATTCTTTAAATAATTGCAATTTCATATATTTTTTATTAAAAGTAAGACAACAAAAAAAATCTTTATCTGTAAGTTAATACAAATTTGACAGACATGATAGCCACAGGAACTCAATACACAATTACAAATAAAAACTTTCAATTACAATTATGCAGACAAGCTACATTGCAAATAAAAAGCCACGATTCAAGAATCAAATATAAATTAGTTTAGTCAAAATTTTATACTAATAACGTCTTCATCTAAAGAACGTTCTTTACGCACAGTAGGTCTTTTATCGCTTCTATCAAATCCATGGACCATTCTAATAGGAAACTCTTTACTAGAAAATACGCAAATGGAATCACACTAAATATATTTATTATCTTTGTCCTAAATTATAAATTTTTAGGGCAACTGCCGTTCAATATAAGAGACATTTCTAAACATGGATCTCGCATACAATTCAAGGCAAGAAACTATAAAACCCGTAAAATTATATTTGACGAACGTACTTTACAACAAAACTGTTATTCACCTTATATTCTTGGTATCCTATCCGATGGCATTAAAAATTTTCTTCATAAGTGAATTTACATGCGTCAAATTTTCGAAAAACAACTCTTCATAATATTAATCTATATACATTCTGGCCAGTTTATCTGGCTGGAGTAATGGCGGACGCAAAGGATGCGCACTTAAGAACTGGGTACAAGTAGGGGACAGATTTTTCGCTGAGTGGCGTTTCTGTCATGTATCTATTCTGTGCCATGGTGCTAAAGCGAATATTTGCGGTGTGCCCCCCCAAAAATATTATCGGGTTACTAACGCCACTAAGCAGGTTTGGACATCCAAAAACGGAAATCATTATTAAACACAGCGCAAAGCACAGTCATTTATAATAGAGTTAAAATGACTCGTGATTGAAAAGGTTTTACAAAAGGAATCATTTTACAATATTTTGTTCAAAAGTTTGTGTTTGTCAAAACTGCTTACAATGCAAAAATAGTAAGAAATCTCAAAGGTGTTTGGTATTCAACTTTATTTAAAATTTATGATAGCTTCGCCTCCATACACTAATGTTTTATTCCAGCTGTGTTGTGGTTTGTTATAATACGTCAGAAATAATGGTTTGAAGATTTTCACAAAGTTCAAACTTTTCTTCGCGTGATTGACGCTGAAATGAAGCGCTAATACGATAATGTTTTAATTGGGCAAGAACTTAACGTTTGAAGAGATCAAGACAACAGAAATTACTGTTAAGTCCGTTCATCTCATTTGCCATTATAACGAGCAGTCTACAAAGCTGGTGGATCTTGTAAATTATTTTGTCGTGGAATTAAGAAATTTGGTTGTAATTCAAAAGTAAATGAAATATAAATGTAACACATACGTTTGGGGTCGTGCATTTATTACACCCTCGATTTCAACCACAATAGTCTGCAACTCGTCGTAGGATACATTGGTTCTTCCTATTACCTTTCTTAACGGACGTTTCACGCTTCGGATCAACCTTTCCCAGAAGCCTCCCACCAAGGGGCCTAATCGACGATAAATTGCCATGTAACTGATGGTTTGCAAGATAGCGTAACACTTCCTCAGAACCACATAATTTGCGAATTTCTAAGCATGCAGCCCAAAAAGTCTTAGCATTATCGGATATAAGATCAGCTGGCAAACATTCATGTGGGTATTAGTGATCATAGCTTAATCTATATACAGAAAAAAATCCGTTTCGTGTAAGGAATCAAAAGTGATTAAATCAAGAAATTTCGAGTATTATAATCCTAACAGTTTAAATCAGATCTTTCCACTTACTTGTTTGACCCAGTGTTTTATGATTCAATGAATGATCGAAATATGTGAGTTTTTTTATTAATGGCAGATTTTCATGCACCGGAGAAAACTAATAGAGTTTGAAGCAAACATTTACCTTGGCTTACAGCTAATATTAAACAAACGATGCATAAAAGAGATTTCTTAAAGAAAAAGGCGGTTAAACACAGGTTCTAAGACATGATGCTTATAAGCGCACACGAAATGAATAAATAAGTTAATTAAGAACACAAAAGCAATTTATTTCGCAAATTCGATTAAATCTTTCACCGATCGTAACGTGTCACAAACGTGGACAATCCGCATTACAAAACATACAGCAAGATGTTTAGGCGTTCTCTCGTGTTTCAAAAACGGCTTCAGTAGAAACTAACGCCTACTTGTTATTTGATTGTGAAGCTCCATAATCGGCAAAACGCAACAAAAGAAAGAGAGACGCTTTAGTAAATATTTACTTAGTGATGAAACACATCTTTTTTACCATTAAAATTTTGCATTACTTCTTAACATGTCTTAGGAAAGGTGGCCCGGGTGGGAGGAAAAAATTTTGGGGGGTGGGAGATATTTTCTGTGATACCGGAGTGATTATTCAAGTGCTCTAGATACCATAAAGCAGGGTAAAACTTATAACTTCAAAACCTAATCCAATTCAGCTGTGACACGTCTTATTCGGTGATGTAAATACATAGCGGCTAAAATAACCGCAGCCGTGTGTTTATAAAAAAACTGAGGACAAGACGCTTGAGTGAATCTGAAATACACGAAACCCAAATAACATGCTTTTCGCTTAATATTAAGCAATTATGGGATAAAATTGAGCATGACATCAAGAATTATGCAGACCGAGGTCAACGTTATCTGCCGACGCGCGAAGCTGAGGCAGATAACATTGACTGAGGTCTGAATAATTCTTGATATCATGCGAAACATAAATTTATTATTCACTTTAATTACTGAAGTATTATCAAAACATATCAATATAAATATTTTTCCAACCTCCGCTAATTTGCTTTTGTCAGACGGTTTGTTCAATTTCGTCGCATTTAAATATGTTGTAAATGTGTTCAAAGCCAGCTTCGCCGCTTTTTTAGTGTCAATTTCGTTTACAAGCTTTGTCAGACGGTTTGTTCAATTTCGTCGCATTTAAAGATGTTGTAAATGTGTTCAAAGCCAGCTTCGCCGCTGTTTTCGCATCATTTTCGTTTACAAAAGCTTTCACATCGTTTTTAGAAACTGTGGCAAACATCGCTGTAGTTTGATTTGTTTTCAAAACCGACGTTTAATGGCGTCCATATTGGTGAAAACTATTATCTATAGATATGACGTCATAATTGTAGATATCGAGAATTATCTGCACGTAGTTGACCAATCACAGCCAAAATTGATTAACACAGCGAATAATAATACAAATTAGATGCTTTGAAAAAGAACATATGACAGAAACCATCAAAAATTTATTTCTTGCGATATTGATTGGTTAGAAAGCACTTTCATGAAATACAATTAAACTGTTTACAAACTAAAAATGTGTGACGTTATATATAAAGGCACAACATAATTATCGTTATGAAAGACATTTTTTTATTCATCGGAAGTCAAATTTCTTTGTATAACTCGCTCTCTATTGTCGAACGGCTTAAAATTTATCAGACCAAAGTGTAAATTTGATTTGAACAATAACAAATTGATCAAATTATACACACAATATGGCTTTAAAGATACATGAATAAAAGTTCAATACAAGAAGAGGACAATTAAGAAGACAAATCCCAAAATGGTCTTCAATGGTGTATGTATTGCTCTTCCGTTACAGAGATCAATTTTACAACATAAACCAGAACAAGACTTCGTGGACGCTAGATTTTTCAACCTTTTGCATGGGTCTGTTTCATTCCAACAAAATCCAAAAGGTGGTGCAAGATCACATCCCTTTGCAACGAAATCTGTTCCGTTAGTAGTGGTGTATTTCACCGAGAAGCAATATCCAGTGATGCATGAAGTTCTTAGATTAAGGCATTTTTGAACTTCTTTTGCAAGATTGGTGTTGTAAACACACGAGTGACAATGGTTAAGGCCGCCTGTAATAATATAGAAACAAGGGTTTTTCAAGCTTTCTACAAATCAGAGCTAGTGTTTTAGAAGGTTATGTTTTATTAGTAATAGATTATCAAATAATTTTCAACATAAAGATCTAGAGGTAAAAAACTTAAATATGCTTTTAACAAACGCTGTAGACATAAGAACAGAACAAATCTCTTTGTTAAAAAGCTTGATGCACTTCGCAGATAAAAACAGACGTCTCTGCGGTGTTTTTATTGACATCAGGAAGTACAACGCAGATCAAACCCTGCTTTGCGAAAACGAATTTAAAAATATTCGAAAGTGATCAGCGCAAAGATGTTTCTGTCGGCTGTACAAACAGTCAAGAACACTAATGAGCGAATAAAGTTATTCATCTACGCCAATAGTAAAGACAAAAGCAACTTTTTTAAGCTTTTACATATTTGTCAAATGGAAAAAACAATATGAACGGTTGATATGAAGTTAAATCATCGATCACCAACCTGAGCTAACGGAGATCGTCATAAGTAAAATAATCGCAAAGAGTTTATTAAACATCACCATTACACCTACAGTGAAGTAAAACATAAATGAGGCTGAATTTGATGTTAACTTGAGATGAAAATGAGAATGTGACTTGTGCGATGTTTCGAAATTTATACTTTTTAAAAATTATAAAAACATAGACAGCAGTCCTAAACTGTTTGTTAAGAAAGAAAACACATTGATGTAATTGAAAAGCTGAGCTTTGATGACCAATTATTCTATACCATATTAAATGTAGAAAGTATACATGAATGTTTTGACGTCACTTTGACGTTCTTGTGACATCATCAAAATTGATTTCTCGCCATGTTGATTGGTTGGGAACTAAAAGACTGTTTACACCTTATCCTGGTCATTAGGGGATAATATTAATTCATTTATTACATCTGTATGCAATCATTTAATAGCGCAAAAATATCTTTAATTACACTAAGCAACAAGCATTTGAACATTCACGTAGAAATTCAGCATTTTCATAAATATTCAATTGCACAAATAGGCAATCAATTAAAAAAAAATAGAGTATTTAAGTCGAGATAGGATAACGAGCGTTTACATGAGATAGGATAACCCTACTTGCGGAGTTTATCTTTTTGGGCAAGGTGGTTGGACTAAAGGACGGCGCTAGAACGCTGATTGGAGGTGGTGTATATTCATATATTCAGTCGCGCTTGACTGACTTCTATAGAAACAAAAACACTTTGAAAAGAAATCACTCGCCAACAACTGAATATATTAATATACACCCCCAAATTAGCGTTCTAGTGCCATCGCTGATTAGACCACAGCTCTCAGGTCTGTGTATTATCAAAGACGGCGGCATCAATTTTTAGTAGAAATGACTGCAGAAGAAACATTTTGGCTTTTACAGGAGGCATATTTTTATAGCTCAATGTAATTAGGCCGTATTCTGTGGTCGATTATCGTTCAAGTTCGTATGTAAAAATATATGACTACGTAAAAACTACATGAATTGATTGCTTTTTCCATAACTAACAAGAATTTACCTGTTTACACCTCCAAATCTTGCAATCTAGGGAGTTTTAGCCCTCGAAATTACGAATTGAATCCTATTGTTTTTCTATAGTCCGCCATTTTTTTTTGTGGAAGACCGCTGTATTATTCGCAGGCTCAGATAGAGAAAGAGGCGGCAAAATCGAGGATATCAAAATCATTTTAGTTTTTTTCCGTTTTTTTTTGCTTGAAGTATTTTATATATATATTGTTTATTAATTTAAAACAGAAAAGTGAGAAAATATATATTTAGTAAACTACAGTATTTGATCAAAGTGAGTATAGTGACATTTAGGATTTCAATTATTTCTTATGTATTTTAGCAGTGCAAAACTGCGGGAAAGCGGTATCTATCTGAAAATTTGCACATTATAAACAAAAGAGAAAGGCTCAATTGTTCTGAGTGGATGACCTCAACCCGTGCGCTTACATCATTAAATACTTATATAATATTATAGAGAAGATTACTCATTACTTGTAAGCGTCCTAGTAAGACCTTTTCTTACTAGCTATTTTCGTTCAAATACAATGCAGATTTATATGACCTTTTAAATGGTCTAATTATATGAGCAAATAATACATAACATTATATTATTATATGACTAATTATACTAAACGTGCGACCTGAATCGACAAATTTGATGTGATGCGCGCATATTCCTCAAGCGATAATCTATAAATCTGTAAATCTATTAATCTTCCTCACTATCGTACTCATCGTCTTTATCATCACAATCATCATCATCATTCTCATCTTCTGAAAAATCGTCATCTCCTGCAACAAAATTACAGCAGTCCGCGCAGCCACACAAGTCGGTACATTTAAAGTCAGACTTCAAACATGAGCATCTAAAGGTTTTGCACCCAGTTTTACAATGGCAGGTGACGACCTAAATTAGGGTGTCAGGTGCTGACGGCCGAGTCATCCATAGAACTTTCAATTGGTCGTCTTCGATGAGCCATCCGTTTCCACACGGGGGCTGGAGTCTCATTTTCGGCAGAAGGCATTTGTTCCAAATATATGCTTGATAGTTTGATCTCTCGATGTGCAGCATCAGACTGTCTGTGTTAGGGGGGAGGCAATCGTCAGAACATTTCCCAGACACAAACAAGGCGAATGAAATTACCTATCATCTTAATATACATACTCCAGTATGCAAACGTTTTCGATTTTGCCGACGATTCAGCAACGAAATCATCATATGTCTTTACTAGGTCTTTGAATTCTCGAGACTCGACGAAATCTTGTAAAGTTCCATTCAAATAAGCTTCTCTTGCGGATATTATGACATAATAGGTCTTTTTCTCTGATTCTTCACCCAAGCTATCAAAGAACACATCAAATCTCATCTGCTGAAGAGCCTCGTACAATACTTTGTGGCATGACATGGAACGATTGTAGTGCTTCCCACTGAGTACACCCTTAATGGATCCCTCACTTATCAAACCTGATTCTATAAATAAGTCCTGTAAATGAAAAAGGGACTCCGATTACATTCACTTGCATATATAATGGTATTATGAATTACCCAATAATACTTTTTTGGGTTCTTTTATGGCTAGACAGGGAATGGAAAACTAGTACTATGATTACCACGGCATGATCATACCTTTAGACCTCCGTCTTCGAAAAGTTTTGAAACCGCACCAAGATATGACATAATTGCATGAAATTCTCCTAGGCGCACGACAAAACAATTGTAGTAGTCATCATTTTTCCATCGAACGTGTTGCACTTTAGCGTAAACAGCTTCGTCGAATACTAATGTCACATATCTGAAAAAAAAAACATATTCAGAGAAACTTAAAGATAGAATTTTAGCAAACGACAATGTACCTCAGTTTTAGCTTGTCTGCAATTTCGGTGCTTTTGTTCAGTATTTCGTTTATAGTCGAGTATTCGGTTGGAGAACCATCGATGACTGGTAAATATCCGACTCTTGAAACATCTGGCATTTCGTCACGGTAAAGAAAAGTATTGAATCCTGTCCATGAGGGAAGGCAATCATCTTGATTTGATTTGACCATTCGCACCAAAACGTACGCTAAATCAAGCTTCTTTGCAAGCTCGCCACGTGAGTTGAAGGTAGTTACAGAAGTTCTTGCCTTGTTGAAGTCGGAGTCTTTTGACGCCAATAGAAAAGGGCAATTTCTGAGTCTGGCATCTCTATAGATCTCTGCGACTTCTTTATTTTGGTTTTGGTTGGACAAGAGGTGGCTCAGTGGATTCTTTGATCTTTTGTGCAATTATCCCGTTTGTTACATGGGTTTGATTCTTAATCTCTTCACCAAAATCGATATTGTCCCATCCAAGGTTAGTAGCTACCTCTTCAAGAAATTCACTAGGTATTAATGCTGACGTTTCCATAACAGTCTGTGCTAGGGCAGTATCGTAGCTCATTGTCGAAGATAGGGACACACAGTGACCTAGACCACTTAAAATCCTTATTAACATGGAGCATCCTGACATTTGTCTGACAGCCGTTGCCAAAGCGAGTGATTTTGGGGTTTCTACCTTTCCTTTTGAACTACTGTACACCATATCCTGACACAAAGAGAAAAGTTTGATCCTCAAGTTCTCGCCAACATCAACATAGTTCGTATGTTCAGGTTCTTCTGAGAAGCCAAGTACCCATGCCATGAAATTAAAGACCACTGGAGAAACAACTTTTTTAACACTGTCACCGGTTATATCGCTCGATAACGGAGGCCAATCGTTGTACCACTTAGTGGGATAGTCATGAATAACCCTTCTCAGCTCTAAAGCGGCGAAATAGAGACCATGTAAAGAGGAGTTTGCTGAAGGATCCATTCCATAATGTTGAGTTTCCAGCTCAGCATCACTTATTTCCTCTTGCTCGGCACTTTCAGGGTCGTCACCGTCTACACACATCTCCACTACACTACCTTTACACAAATCCTCTGCATATACTATCTCACTTCTATTACGGACTTTTGGTGTATGGAACACAAGCTGTGGAAATCTTTCTTTTAAACGTTCCTTGAGACTAGTACTTCTATATCCTGAGGCATCTTTATTTTCAATGTTCTTAACTGTGTCCACAAACTTCATCGTAAGCATTTTCATATAACATATCCCATGATCAACAATAATAACCTTTTTAATGTACTTGCAGAATTCCTCGAACGACTCACTATACAAAACTTTGCGTCCAGCATTAATCAACGCACTTTGACCATTATAAAGGAAAGATGTGTAGGACTTGTAGCATTTGCCAGCGGTTTTCATAAAAAATACAGCTAAAAACAAGATGGCGGCAGGAAAAATCAAAGAGCGAGTTCGTCACCTAAAAAGTGCTATTACAGCGTAGATTGCAAGTTTCAAAGGTGTAAACATCTCGAATCTTAATAAGTAAGTTTTATTAAGTATTTCTGTGTGATTTTTATTTAGTCATATATTTTTACATACGAAAATCGTTTTCTAAGCACATTTTCGGGGCACAGAATACGGCCTAAATGCCCCTAAAAATTGTTCAAGGTTAGATCTCTTGCTAGCGTAACCCTTCTGGTAAGGTCTGAAAGGCCAAGATTTTTCCGTGAAGATTGAAGTTAAACATTAAAATCTCTGTATTAAATGTCAGACGTTCATTATCAAAAGTAAACACAAGAGTGCAAAGCATTACTTTTTCTTCATTGGGTTTCATCTACGAACTTTAGGTTGAGTGGTTTGCAGTCCTTCTAGATATTTGAAAAGATTTGCGTTTTTTTTGCATTTCCCGTATGGGAAACCGAAACGTCACGCAGTTGGAAATTTATTGTAAATATTACTACGTGGAAGATCTACTATAGCTAATATATAAAAATAAATCAATATTTCTACTGGTAAACGCCTATAATAAATTTCAAACAATACAAATGATCAATTCAAACAATACGAAGATATTCGTGAATAAATATTGAACCCACAATATACTTAAGATGTACCAATTCAGACAGCAGAGTAGATATCTTTAATTTTCATTCATAAGATGGATCGCAACAAAATACCAGAAATAATTATGGCTTCAGTCAGTTAATAATCTTAAAGCTAATTCCTCGTCATCTCGCAATGACGTATTTCCGTCCTCGTCCCATAGTGAAGTATTTGGTCCATTTTTAATGTCATTCGTATGTCTTTCGTTATCTCTTCTTCGCTTTTTCCTCGGTGATCTTGAAGTACAAATGAAGAGTTTATGATTAAAAGTTAAGACACAAAATCAAAACGACATTTTGAATGTTTTGAAGACCACTAAACAATGTTGTAAAAGCTGTGATTTCATCATTACCTCATATCATCTGTCTCACTTTCCGTCCCTGGATTGATGGAGTCTTCAATAGGATCATTTAACGCAACTTCTGTGACTTCCTCCTATGTTACAGATAGAGAGTGTAATGAAGCTGCAAAAATGGCTGCAATTCATACATACTTCAGTATAGCGTCTTCATCAGGAGTGATCTGATGTTGAAACTTGAGTTCTTATATACTCCAGTCTAGTGTCTTCATCAGGAGTGATCTGATGTTGAAACATGAGTCCTTATATACTACAGTCTAGAGTCTTCATCAGAAGTGATCTGATGTTGAAACTTGAGTTCTTATAGACTCCAGTCTAGCGGCTTCATCAGGAGTGATCTGATGTTAAAACTTAAGCCCTTATATACTCCAGAAAAGTGTCTTCATAAGGAGTGATCTGATGTTGAAACATGAGTCCTTATATACTACAGTCTACCGTCTTCATCAGGAGTGATCTGATGTTAAAACTTGAGCCAATACTCCCCTAGTGCAATTTAAACATATTCTGCACCTCATCATGTCTTCTATTCATTTTGTCTTTCATCTTTCTCTCGCGATGCTTTTGTTTAATTCTTTCTCGAAATTCCTTCTTATCTAGTTTATCCTGTTTGACGAGATATTGAGAAGACTTCTTCAGATCGATTCCACCCTCATCATCTGTGTCCTGATTATCATCTATTCTCTGAAGTGGCTACGGAATAAAGAACAGGTCATTTCAGTGGCGTCGCCAGGTTGTTCAGACTAAGGGAGACGATGCAACCGTAAAAGGTGCGACACTTAAAAGGGGGTTCGACTGAATGCTGATTTTTAGTTGTACGTATATTCTCTAAGACGCTGTTTCTTTCATGCAAGTTTTATAATAATCTAAAAGCCGCGCATTTTAAGAAACACAGCTTTCTGTTAGATATGCCAACAAGCGTATTCAATGCAATCTTATAGACAACGATGCCTGAAGGTTGTTGTTTATTATACTGACTTTGCCAAGTGACCGTTAAAAGGAAGCAACTATTTTTGGAAGCTGCTTGAAATTGGATTCATTGCGCACTCCCCTTCATTTCATTTTACATTTTTTCAAATTGCTATTTGGAATAAACGGGGGGGACACGTTGAAATTAACATCGCAAAAAAAGAAATCAGCCGGGCAGAGCTGAAGATGTGAATATATACCCCCCAATTAACGTTCTAGTTATGCCCCTGCCCCTAACTTCGCCTTCCTGCCGAGGCCACTAGGTTATTTTCGAGGCAATTCACGGCAAATTTCTTTTTGTACCAGTGAGATCCCTCCCCCCAGCAGAAAACCAACCTCTCCATCGTCGTCAAAGCTAATTTTGCTATTCATTTTGATGCTTTTTCTTAAAACTTTCTTCGCGGACGTAATTTTTGTCTTCATTTTCTTATCCACTTTCTCGTCAGTCTAAAGCGATAAATTATTTTGGTAAAGACATCGTAAGATTTGAAAATATACCCTTTCTTTGCTTTCTAGTGTGGCACTGTAGCCATGCTTAACATCACTCAAACCATCCTTAACGTCACCCAAACCATCCTTAACGTCACTCAAACCATCCTTAACGTCACCCAAACCATCCTTAACGTCACTCAAACCATCCTTAACGTCACTCAAACCATCCTTAACATCACTGAAACCATCCTTAACATCACTGAAACCATCCTTAACATCACTCAAACCATCCTTAACATCACTCAAACCATCCTTAACATCACTGAAACCATCCTTGTCATCACGTAAACCATCCTTGTCATCACTCAAACCATCCTTAACATCACTCAAACCATCCTTAACATCACTCAAACCATCCTTAACATTACTCAAACCATCCTTAACATCACTTAAACAATCCTTGTCATCACTTAAACCATCCTTAACATCCGTCAAACCATCATTAACATCATTCAAACTATCCTTAACGTTATTGTAACAATCTTTTACGTCACTTCATTTTTATTAAATGTATTTTTTTAAGTTGTTTTCTACAAACTCAACTTTGATTTGAGGCCAAGAAAGACACCCACCTTCTCGTCAACTTCTAGAGGTAATTCGACATCTCTTCGTTTCAACACAAGAAAGTCATCTTCAACAGTCGTCACGGTTTCATCTTGGATTGATTCTCCATCGTTAGATTCATTTTTTTGTTCGTTTTTTGCAACTGTCTGACCGCGTTCCTTCTTGGCTTTCTTCTGCATGACAACAGAGAAACATTGTAAACAGTACGTAAAAAGTTTCTTTTCTATTATTTTCCACCTGTAAAAATCTTATTCTTGGTGCTGTTGACAATCCCAAAGATCTGTATAGAAAAAAAAATAATAGTAAAACTACAAAATACTTTCTATGTAAAAGTGTATACCTTTGTATTTCGTATAAATGACAAATAACAACAATGGGAAATAGATAAATTTAAAATAAATGTTTTTATTTTTCTCTTCCATGTATTCACGACCAACAAGCAAATTCTCTTTTATTTATTTAACTAAGATCTGTTTGCACAGACTGATGTAAACTCATATTAACTAATTGATCAGCGCACGCATTTTATTGTTTCTATTAAATACGCAATAGATAATATCAATGAAAATATGTAATGATTAATCTTACGCTGCATATTTCTCCACGGGTAATTCATCAACTTTAAATATCCTTTTATTGGACTGAAGATACACCGATCTTACGTAAGATACGACACTCTGAAAATAAACAAAAATTTTGTTGGGGACTGGATTCCAGTTCATTGAAACGAATCGAAAACTACTCCATCGCGCAAACCTTTTGAGCCCAATGTTTTAAATCTTGATCCTGAGCACATAATCCGTCCAACTTCTTGTTTATGTTACAAAGTTTCTTTGGATTTGCTCTGCAATAGAAATTGCAAAGCTGCATAGAAAAAGATTCATATATGCTTTTGAATCGTCGGTAAAATGCCTAAATAAGTGTAGAGTTTATATTCCAGAAGCCTTCAGAGGGCCAATCATCGAAACATCATTCCGAATGTCATCAGAAATTTTAACAAGCGTCTTTTTGAGGGTATTGTTAAGCCGTTAATTATTACTTTTAATGACATTAAATTCATCCTGATCTACGGGCAAACCCGTTAGAATAATACTTAAATTAAAAGGTCGGGAAAATGGCAGAAAATTATATATTTGCTTGTTGGCTTCATAGTTTGAGGGTTCTTGCTCATATTCTCGGTGGTTGATTTCTTTCAATGCTCCCGAATTGTCGTTGCTGGGGGCACCAATCGAAATTTTGGATTGTAAGATAAATAAATTTGAGCATGTCGGTCATTGTAGAGAAACACATAATCTTCTGAATCATAGAAAACTCGAACGAACCTGAGTATAAATGTAGTTAAGTGGGTTAAATGTCATATCAAGTTCCTTCCTAAACAAACTCTAGGTGTCTTAAACGCATCTATGAAGAAGTTTCTGTCACTGTGCAATGAGTTAAGGTTCTGCATCACCATCAGAGGGGTAGAGCAGCTCAACCAAATCGACAAAACCAACGCAATATTTTTGATCGAAGATTAGATGTATAAAAGGTAAAATAATCCACACAGTTTTACTCACTTTATTTCAGTTATTGGAACTTTCTTCTTCTCCAGTTCCTAAAGTGACACAAGACAATAATTATTACGTACACTCGATATTATATGCTTACGTCATATATAACTAATCATTACCGCTTCCCATTCCCAACACTCTTTCCATCGTAGTGCCAACTCTCAACATTTGTATTACTAACCCCCCCGCCCCGTAGTGCATGCTATCAAAATTGTCTACTAACTCCTACCCCCTCCCCTACCGTAGAGATAACTTTCAATATTTGGGTAACTACCCCTCCCCCCGTAGGGCTTACTTTCAACAATTGTATTACTAACCCTTCTGACACAGTAATACTTACTTTCAACATTTCCGATTCTTCTGATGGAAGAAGAATTAACAACGAATGGCCTCCACGTTGATACCTGTGGATGAAACATTGACGAAAACATTATGCTGAAGTGAAGAAGTTCGTGATGAATTAAAGATGAACTACAAGGAGAGTTGGTTAGAGATACAATGAATTGGAAAAATCAGAAGATATGGAGCGGTAGACATTACAGAAAAGATGAAGGAATATGGTAGACATTACAGAGAAGAAGAAGGAAGAAAGAGTATGGTGATGGGAAGATGAAATAAGAAAAGATAAAACAAGAGTTTGACAAAGATATTATGAAATGAAGAAATGAGAAGACGTGGAGTGGAAGACATTACAGAAAAAAAGAAAGTGATGAAAAAGACAAAGAAATGTGTCAATATCAATAAACCTCGCTGTTCTACCAGCGCGATGAATGTAGGTATTAGAATCTTCTGGACAGTCAAGTTGTATGACCCAATGAACGGCGGGAAAATCTGTTTAAAAATGTAACAAACTATAGCAGCAACGTCAACAAAATCACTAGTATTTCTTGTCGACGGTATTAGATCGAAAGCAAATGTCTTCATCGGGTCCTACCTAGTCCTCGTGCGGCAATATCAGTAGCAAAGAGCACGGCTGAATTTTTGTTGCAAAAATCATTGTAAATAGCGACTCTCTTGATTTGATTCTGTTTTCCATACAAAGCCAGTAACGGGATACCGGGTCTTAAACGCCGATAAGCTTCGTAGATATATTTCACCTGTAAATTCAGATATATTCGCATATGAATAGGCAGAAGAGAGAAATCTACCCTAAACACAATTTGAACAAAGATGGAGAAATGTCGGGTCGTAAATGGTAAAGATTTGGGCAACTGTCAGCAAATAAAAAAAATGTTCACAAATTTACAGAAGTTTGGCGATTTGAAAATTACTATAAAAAGTTGAACGTCCCACTTTTCTTCAAGCTATGCGCGCATGGAAAGGTTAAAAAAGGTATAAATTTCGCATCGAGATGAATTTATTACAATTTACTCAATCAATAAACACGGGCAACAAAAACATCATCATGTCAACTTTATGTCCCCCGTGTGTTTTTTCCTGTAAAAAGCAAGCCAAAGCAGAACGAGGAGAAGTCTACCTGTTTGCAGCTGGACAAAAACACCAAAATCTTGCTCTTCAAATGGTTTTTAATAAATGAGTAGATAAAGTTTGTTTTGTCTTGAAGATCACAGATGACATAACTCTAAAACAAAAGATGTTATGGATAGATTTACGACAATTGCAAGATACTTTGCAAACGATATAATGGAAGCTATCTTTACTTGGATTAATTCTTGTGGAGTCGTCGATTCTGAATCCTTGTAAACTGACACATACTCAGGATCCTAAAAAATTCGTAATTAGGTTTGTCATCATGAATAGTCTTACTTCATAAGTCGTTAAATCTCGCTGTCAACTTACATGCAAACTTAGCCTTGCCAAATCATTGACTGACCTGGAAATAGACAAAAATTGTGCGTTAGTGTAGGTAGTGATGAGCGATAAATAGAAAACGAGAACAGTCTTTACACTATATTAAATATTTAAGAACTAAGATAACGTGTGTCAGTGTAGGTAATGATGAAAGAACAATGGAGAACTACAAAACAGTCTTTACACTATATTAAATATATAAGAAATAAGATAACGTGTGTCAGTGTAGCTAGTGATGAAAGAACAACAGAGAACTAAACAGTCTTTACACTATATTAAATATTTAAGAAATAAGATAACGTGTGTCAGTGTAGCTAGTGATGAAAGAACAACAGAGAACTAAACAGTCTTTACACTATATTAAATATTTAAGAAATAAGATAACGTGTGTCAGTGTAGCTAGTGATGAATGAACAACAGAGAACTAAACAGTCTTTACACTATTTTAAATACATAAGAAATAAGATAACGTGTGTCAGTGTAGCTAGTGATGAAAGAACAACAAAGAACTAAACAGTCTTTACACTATATTAAATACATAAGAAATAAGATAACGTGTGTCAGTGTAGCTAGTAATGAATGAACAACAGAGAACAAGAATACTTGTAATATATACAAGGAGAATGACATTAAGACGTCATTTTCAACACCTTTGTTTGTACCTCGTTTGTGTAGCAGAGTATAAGAGAGTTTGCCTTTCTTGTGGTAGATTTTCTATTATAGCATTGACTGTCTCACTAAAACCCATATCCAATATTCGATCGGCTTCGTCAAGAACTGTGAAAACAAAAACATTCAAGATGAAATATAGTATTAATGTGAAAAAGAAGGGGAACATTTCTGCTTATTAATCAATTACAACACCCACCCAACATTTTTAGATTGCTGCAATCAAAATTTGGTGTTTCATCCATGTGCTGCAACAATCTTCCAGGAGTACAGACAATAATGTTGGTTTTCTGTATTCTCTGCTGCTCAAAACTCACTTCTTTACCACCAATGATGAGACCTGCTGATAGATCATGGTGCTTGCCAATCTTACGCAGAACTTCAAATGTTTGGTAAGCCTAGGGACGATTGACAATTTATTAGACTTTTAAATATTAGTTAAGTAAATTTGCTACGTTGAATCTAAAGTGTTGATTTATCCCAGTCTAGTGTCTTCATCAGGAGTGATATGATGTTGAAACTTGAGTTCTTATATACTCCAGTCTAGTGTCTTCATCAGGAGTGATCTGATGTTGAAACTTCAGTTCTTACATACTCCAGTCTAGTGTCTTCATCAGGAGTGATCTGATGTTGAAACTTCAGTTCTTACATACTCCAGTCTAGGGTCTTCATCAGGAGTGATCTGATGTTGAAAGTTGTGTTCTTATATATTCTAGTCTATTATCTTCATCAGGAGTGATCTTATGTTGAAAGTTGTGTTCTTATATATTCTAGTCTATTATCTTCATCAGGAGTGATCTTATGTTGAAAGTTGTGTTCTTATATATTCTAGTCTATTATCTTCATCAGGAGTGATCTTATGTTGAAAGTTGTGTTCTTATATATTCTAGTCTATTATCTTCATCAGGAGTGATCTTATGTTGAAAGTTGTGTTCTTATATATTCTAGTCTATTATCTTCATCAGGAGTGATCTTATGTTGAAAGTTGTGTTCTTATATATTCTAGTCTATTATCTTCATCAGGAGTGATCTTATGTTGAAAGTTGTGTTCTTATATATTCTAGTCTATTATCTTCATCAGGAGTGATCTTATGTTGAAAGTTGTGTTCTTATATATTCTAGTCTATTATCTTCATCAGGAGTGATCTAATGTTGAAACTTGAGTCTTTATATACTCCAGTCTTGGGTCTTCATCAAATATCATATAACTTACACCTTACACCTTACTGTCAATGTTTCACTTTATTTCAGAGACTCACTTAAGTAAAACTTACCAGTTCTCTGGTTGGTGATATAACTAAAGCCCCAAGGCCATCAATTGAAGACCATTTCAACTTCCACAGGCACTCAAGCATCTTGTCAAAATGAAATTCAACAAATCCCCACATAAAATGAAATACCACATATGGTTGTAACTAATAAGAGGCAGTAACAAACTCACAGGTATTAGAAAAGCCATTGTTTTTCCTGATCCAGTCTTGGCTGCACCAAGCACATCGAGACCTTTCAATGCAACAGGAATACCTTGTTTCTGGATCTCAGTTGGACTTGTATAACCACAACTTTGCAATGCTGTGGGTTTAATGAATCAATATTATATTTTGAAAATCCAGACTAGAAAGTTCATGGAGCACACTCTAGATCTCAGGTTTGCAATTTTGAGAATTCTAGGCTTTTATGCATGCATATTTCGAATCTTGGGTGTGCAGTTTACCAACTTTCAGTCTCGGTGAAAATGGCAAAAATAGATTGTCTTGTAAAAATCACAGTTATTTTGCCAACATGAAATTTTGTCAACTTGCTAATGACTAAGATCAATGTGGTATTGCTATAAAATTCAAAACAAATATGCCTCTTTTCCCATTGCAGTATTACTTGTGTAATTAATGAGGTTTGTCATAATATGTAATAATATAATATGGTATCTCCATATGCCTTTTCCCTCGTGAATTAACCTTGGCAACTTGCATTTTTTAAATAAAAGCTTGCGCTGTAATTGCCCAACTGTGTTAAAATATGCAAAATTGATCAGGTATAAAAACAGATTTCTTAGGTTAGGGGATGCAAATACAGAATAGAATCTGTTCGCAAATTGACATTACACGTAGACTTCGTCGTTGGCAAAACAGCATGTTAGCATTTTGTCAAACACATGTTGAAGAACAAGACTCACCTCTTTGAGTACGGTTGGATAATGGTATGTCCGAAAATGTTCGGACTGTTGATGATTCAAACTGTAATGAAAACAATGTAAGCGATGAACAGCGAAAGGTTGAGAGAAGTCAGAGACCTCATGCAGGGCAAAAAAAATAAACGCCGGAGCAATCTTAGCTGGCAGTAGGCATCTAACAATAGGTAATTTTTTTACTGGTCGAATTGAAAACCATTCTAGTACTTTAACAACACTCACATCAGCTATCGTTTCATCCAAAGCCTTCATCTCGTCGTCTTCGTCTTTGACCTTCTTCAATCTTGCTTGTCGTTTCGCCCATTTCGTTTTGGCCTTAGCCTTTTTATCGCCACAAATTTTGTTTTGCTTTTGTGATTTATCCATTTCATGTGAAAACGTGCTGGCCATATGTACTATTTACATCCACTAAACAATATTTTACATGGAGTACCTAATAAACGATTTTATCACAAAATCAATACCACTGATATGTATATTACACTGGATAACGCACCATGTATAAATATAATAAGATAATTAAGCCACGAAGCTCATCTGATCATGACCTTCGTGGGGGGTATCGGTCCCACTTAACTATACTTATGTATTACAAAATCACAGTTTTTTCGTTTTTATTGGTTTTACTAGCTTTTGATTCGAGGAAAATTTTTGTGAAAGGGCAGAACAACCGGCAAAGATATTTAATCCTAAAAAGTTTGTCTTCTTGGCTTTATAATGGCAGAACATTAAGATGGTACAAGGTCGACCTGCATTGTTTTGAAACAAACTGGAGATTATATAATGCTGCTGCTTCTTAAAGAATGTAGAAATATTACAGAATCCTACTACTGCTACCAAAATTTCATCTGCAACGACGTTTATGGATGATTGTTACAGGGGCGGATCTAGAGTATGTCAAATCCGTCGCGCGACTGATGTTTGAAATTCAAAAATTACCTATTCATATTAATTAAAAATCATTAATTATTCTTACTTTATTATCGCATTTACTTCGTGATAAAAATCCAGCTTTATTTATTATTGAAAACTAATGACTAATGCAACGAATATCTCCTTGGTAACCAGATCAGTTGAATTTTAATTGACCTGGAATAACCCACTGATAAGCGGGGTGGCTTGACTGGTTCGACTTATAAAGGAGTCTATGAACGCCAGAAACGCTATTTTATTGGTCAATGGCCAGATCAGTGGACAGTCTGGAATAATCTCGACCGATAATAGGGGTGGCCGGACCTATAAGGGAGTCCAATTGCTATCTTACAATTGGTTCATTTGAATTTTTGTCTTACTGTGATTGGTTTGACCGATTTCGACTGATAGCCAACTGAACTAACATAGTCAAGCTCAATGTCTGAATTGAATGTTTGATCGTTCATAGTAATTTTTATAAGCATGATAGAAACTAAACTACAATCAGATGGAATTTATGGAAATCTTATACAAATTCATATGTTGACATGAATGCTGCTTTCCAAACTGGGAATTTTTTCAAGAGGGTGAAAAATTTATGGATGAATTGTAAATGCTTGGCAAAGACGATCTCGCGAGCGACATTTCAGTCATTGATGTTCAAAAGCAAGCCAACATTGTTTTGAGTTTTATCAGCAGAAATTTACATCGAAAATCGTAAGTAAAGGAGAGGTGAAGTGTATGTATGAATGCAATATATCAAAGTCAATTTATGCGAGTGTGTGATGCGATTTATGTTAATATGGCGTATGGTTAGCAGATTGATGCTTCTAAAATTGTTGTTGCCGAAGGACTTTTAGCTATGATTTCTTTAATGCTTGGGGAATCATGGCCGTTATATGGCAGCGAAATCCTACATTTCTGCAAATATATTTCAATGGACAAAAAATCTGTAGCCATAAGGCGCCATACTATTATTTACTTTATCATAAACAAATCTTTGGGGCTTTTCAGTTTATGATCATTGATCATTCAATCATTGGACAGTTATACTACATATTGTTTAAGATTTGAGAAAACTAACATTGATTACATGAGAAGCTGTTTACTATAACCTGTGATTTTGAGTCTTATGATCCATGAAGCTTTTTATTTTGACAATTTGACTGGAATGGTATTAAACCTGAGTATTTCACATACATGAAATGTTGTCCCATGTCACATATTGTCCCTTTTCTAACTGAACACCTCATGTAGAGATGTAAAGGTGTGTTAATCTACGGCTCATACCAGATTGTTTGCCATAAATTCCAAAGGGCTATTGATGTATGAATAGCATTTTCTATAAAGTAAAAATGTCTTCCAATGTATGCAGATAAACCTTGAAATTTGGCAAACAGCAAAGTATTTTTCATGATCACTAGGTAATTTTTCTGATGATCAGTATAATTTCTAAACTAAATTATTTCAGATTTACATTTAAACGAGCTTTGATCACATGAAAAGATATTTATCATAACCAGTAAGCATGACACATGAACCAATTTTAACATTCATGTAATTATATAATTAAAGACATGTTGGTTACATTCTGTTTGTATTTGCAAATACAATGCTACTAGTGATTGCTATATAGCACACCTTGCATATACTTACAGAAGATAATAGTCTAGTGAAATGCCTAAGAAACATTCATGGCATTAAGCTGTCCTTAACTGCAATTTTTCACTTTGATAATTTTCTTAATCTTTGACAGAAAAAAATTTTGAGTTTTTTCTCAAAAAGTTAATTTGCTGGCTCTGATGTGGAGATGGGTAAAGGGTTACAATAAACTTGCATGGTTTGAAGTCTGAGCTTTTCTATATTTATGAACTGTCACTTGTAGTACCAAATTTCTAACTTCACTTATTACATAGAGGTTTGAATGGGGGTCTCTAGGGGGGTCTATGCCTGACAACTTGGTAGAAATCTTTAAAGACTATATCTGTTTTTGAATAGCATTATTGTAAAATAAATTTTAAGTTCCTAGACATGCTAATGAGCCATATATTTGGCATGATAATGAGCCTAAATATTTGGCAAAACATTCAAGTATTGTTCACTTCATTTGTTTTGAAAAAAACGTAAGCAAAATGTGTTGTTTTTACCGAAAAACGATGCCCACAAAATACATCTTGTATTGCTCTAAAACGCTGAAAATGGCATTTTAGAGGTTCTGAAATTCAACATTTCTCAGGGGAGAATGCCTCAGACCCCAGGCGCGGAGTGCCTCCGACGTTTTATGACTGATGTTTGAAAAATCCTAGATCCGCCCCTGGATTGTTACAAATTTACTTATTTAACAACACTTTGTTATTCACATCGCTAATATCATAAGTTCAAATTACGTCTTTATTAATTATAACAGTGAAGAAACAAAACAAATCGACAAAAAAGAGAAATAATCAGAAAGACATTTTGATGAACAATATAGTAAGTTGAGAACGGTATCATCAAACTCTACGAGATGTACATCATCAAAATATGCGAATTAAAGTACCTCTGTTGTAATTATGCGAAGCAAAGTTTTCAATCAGCTCCTATGTGAACAACTTCAATATCGATGAATATGTTGAAGATATGAATACCTTTGTTCTTACTTTGTTGTAAATTTGTAATTTAAGTATTCATCTTCTAAAAATGCCTCGCACGGCTGATATTATCCTCGTCACCTTCAACTTTCAGATTTCAACTTGCCATCTTATTTTTCAGTCGTTACAAATCCAAAAAACAGAGCTTCTGGGTTATAACTCTCTACTGGTTTTCCTGTACATGTCATTAAAATTTTGCCTTAATTAGAAGTTTGTAAAACGAATAAAAACGCGAAAACTGTGATTTTGTAATACAAAAGTATACTAAAGTGGGACAGATAGCCCCCATGAAGCCAGTAGCAGATGATCGATCTTCCGGCTTCAATTTTCGCAAGAGATGCGTTATCAAGTCTAATATACATATCAGTGATCAATACCATTGAGTTCTATAATAACTAAAGCGGCTAACTGTTCTGGGGCGAGGACGCCAAAAACATGCATGCCAATTGCCTATTTCTGCTGAAATATTCGCTTTGCAGAAAAAAATATATCGACCTCCCCTTGTTGTCTATAGAATTTATACGTATAGATAAACAATTGTATACTTTTTCTTTGTATAAACAATAAAGTTTAATTCGTGCAAAAAAGTTTGAATGTTTACGTCGCGCATCCGCATTGATTTGCAGCCAACAAATAGCTTCTTCATTAAATGAAGATATGATCTTCGCACTTTGCTGGACAGTTTAAGCAATCGTCTCAGGACCTGAAAAAATCAGGTGACTCAACGGGATTCGAACCCATGACCTCTGCGGTGCCGGTGCAGTGCTCTGACCAACTGAGCTATGAAGTCACACAGTGGCGAGCAGGTCAATATTGTTGCGCTGATGTTTTCTCGTGAAGGAATGTCGTATGAACGTTTTATGATTTTTTCAGGTCCTGAGTCGATTGCTTAAATTGTCCAGCAAAGTGCGAAGATCATATCTTCGTTTAATTTCAAACACCGCACTGCATAAAACATTCAAATAGCTTCTTCCGTAATTATCAAAAGCTTCCCTTGTAGGAGCCGACAACTAGCAACCACAGTTGACTCGCTGTTATGAATTTTAGTTTTTACCTTGACTTTCATCATAAATTTGCTTTTCAAATGCCAAATACGAAAATACTTCTCCCTCCCTTTCTCTCAAGGGGGGAGTGAAAAATTGCAAAATTTTCTGCAAAGCAGTCAATTTCGGTAAATCTCAGCGGAAATAGGTCAATTCCTCCATTTTTTTGCGTCATCCGATATCTAAAGTCGCGCTTGAGATAGCCGCTCCAGTTATTAAAGAATTTGATTACGATCTTTTATGACTTTTGTCATGGACAAAACAACCAGTTCTTGTTCATTTTATTCTATCAAATAACATATTTCATTCTCTTGATAAAATTTGGCTTGATAGTATAACTAATTCGATTCGAAGCATATGTTTGGTATCAATTAACAAATTCAGTTTTAATGACCGGTTAATATGTGGTAGAAGAGCCCCCCTAGCTGGGATGACTTTTCTTGCCAAGCTGTGTTTTGAGTCTATTTCATATAAAAACATTGACATTTTATCAAGCATCAAAACGTACACAACCATCTTGCTATCTGTCTTGGGTTCTTGAACTTTAACTTCAAAGCATTCAAGGCATCCTTAGTGAATCCATTGTCTACATTCATAGAATTTGACCATGTTCAAATAAATAACTCTGGATAACTCTAGAAGTTCTAGAGTATTATGTATTCCGCAGCGTTTAGGGATGGTGCAAGGCTTTCGACGTCAGAATCAGGCTGTCAAATTCAAACGATAGTCAAATTCATAGGCATGCTAATGAGTCCCTAATTGATAGTTATAAAATACGCTTATTATCCATCCTAAATTTTAGGAAATTGCATTTCCGAGACAGTAGAAATCAAAATTTCCGAAGGAGCATGCCCCTGGACTTTCTTATACGGCTTTTCTGATATTTTGCCTTGACAAAGTCAATGAATGAACGGAAGCGACATCAATTTTTTTTTGAAAATAGACAAGTTGAAATTGTCACAACACAGAATATTACTAATTATTTGGAAAAATCATTTTTCAGCTTTGCTGGCATACAAAGTTGTCAAATGATGACATCATTGGTCTTACTCCTTATGAAAGTAGCAACACAAGAGCAATTATCAAAGTTTTCCGTTGTTAAACTAATTCTTAATGAATCAATAATAAAATTGAGCTGTTATTTTTTTGAGCTGTCGTAGTATAAGTTCCTCACACGAACTATAAATCAGGTGTTTTTACAAAACAGTAAAGGAACACTATTGATTATTTAAATTAATATTATATCATTCAACAATTAAATATTGAGCAAATAACATTGTACTTATTTTTAGTTTCAATGAAATGTACTTAATTTATTATAGTACAAATATCTTTTGACAGCAAACAAAATCTGGATAGTAATATCTACAGACTGTCTCATATTTTTTGCACGAACGACGTAAAATTCCTCTTCCTTCGGAGGATTGTAGGCATCGGCATGTCGCAAAAGGTTTGTCTAAAAAACAGACAGGAATAATTAGCATCAGTAAAAATTTTAACCGAAATAAATTATATACCTTTTTTATACCGATTGTCGAAAACATGGTTGAATATTCCTCCATAAATTAGGGATGTTCTACGTGTCGACAAAATCGTAAGAAAATTCTAATAGGTTTTCTCAAAACATAAGATGGTCAAGCTCATATCTTATTTACTTAGAGATACCCTTGCAACAACAATGAATGAACAAAACTTTATCAAGAGTTTTTTAAGATGTCAAAATACTACATGCATATTAATTTTCACTGAGAATCAGCAAACGACAACGTAGGACAAATCTATAAAAGTCGTCAATGGGTCGTGCAAATTCACAGTATAATATATTTAACACCAGGAAAAAGTAGCAAGGAAAAAGTATCAAAAGCCTGCACTTGTGAAATCAAAAATCAAATTTTTGCTTCAATGCTCTCATTTTGAGCTCTTTTACGATGTTTTTAAACGGAGGCACGCCATAGCTAAATTAATTTGTGATTTTAAGTTTATGCAAGTTTTACCAATGTGTATAGTGGTGTCGCTATGGGGAGGCCTGTCGGATGGGGCAAGTGCCCACCCTAACTTGAATTTTGGGAAAGGCGTCTTAAGACTTAAGCAACTTTACAAAGTTTGTCTAAATATCACGTCGAATTTTTATGATAAACGAACACACACAGTCAATGTAATTGTCTAACATTTAGATCAAAAAGTCACGTGCAAAAATTTACGAATCATCTCATTGTTACACCAACATAATAAGCTTGTATCTCTGTTGATTGAGCATGGACAAAAATTGAAGACTTAGCTTGGATAACATGCTGGCAAAAAAAAGGCAGTATGTATTAACAATTAACATTACAACCTCGCTCCCCCTTCTTATCTTGCAATTAAATTTACCTGGTTTATCGACATATTCCCAGAAAGTGACAGGCGATGTTTTTGCAAATTGAACAAATGCCAATAAAAGCATGATGCACTTCAAAGAATTCATTTCGTCGATGCTAAAATATAAAGAAAAAAACAAGGCGCCAATCAGGAATTCACTCAGGCGACTCGAGATCAGTGTTTGGTTTTGTTGCCAAATAGCACGACAAAATTCACGCGACCTTCATGCGTGAAGCAACGATCAAAGAAGAATTTTAATTTTAAGGACTTTATGTCAGTCACGCGCTATTTATCTATTCTCGCGACAGTGCACGAAAAGCCGAAATTCAAACTCTCGTTTGCTTTCAGTTTTTCCCAAGTAATAAAAAAACTTCAGCTTACATTTGTTAACGGATTATTTTGAACTTCACAAAGAAGTAAATTAAAGTATATAAGATGTCTTACAAATTGGATCAAGGAATGGTCAAGCGATCATTTGATCGACAAAAAATTCAAAACAGTCCACTAGATAAAATTATTTTGATAGATTTATAGTTAATGTAGCTATGTATTGCTGGATCAAATTTTTTGGATGACAGTCTTGTGTTAGGAAGAAAGTGCCGTGATAAAATCATGCTGATCACATGCTGTGTTAATTTTCATCTCAAATTTTTTCTCCAACTATATGCTTCAAACCACCTTTTCAAGTTAAAAAAATGCAACACAATTAGCTAGCTATACCCAGTAAACAAAAAAATTGTAAAGAAGTTTAATAAATGTTTTATATGAGGTTCTAATGAGTAAGAAAATGTCTTTTATCATTCATATTATTTTATTACATTCATATTGGTCGTGTTAAAATACGAGTCAAATTTTTTCATAATGGTTTTGTGTTTGGGGAGTGTCATAATAAAATTATGCCAGTTACAAAATTCATTAATTTCATCACAAATTGTTTCTACAACGCTGTGCTTTGTTTAAGCATTTTAGCAATATAAAAAAAATCACGACATAAGTTGCCACGCACGGATATTACAATCAAAACAAAATTGAATTTTATACATGTTTCATCAACCTTTTCGCTGTAGAGTTATTTCCGTGTTTCCAGTTCTTTTGCTTTTGTTGATGCGAGTAAACGCTGACAAGGGTTAATATAAAGAGGTTACCGTTCAATGAAGGTTTCTGAAGATCAAATTTTACATTAGCTACATTTCATTTAAGACATAAATATTTTACTGTGATTGCACAGACTTCTACAAACCGAGTAGACATTTACAACAACTCCGAAGCTGACCGAAGGCTTACTCGCGATGCAATTCCCTGTACATTGGCGAAACTTCCCGTAAATTGTCCTCAAGAGTCGGGAACGTACCACACATGATTGACATATAATTCATCTATCGATCAAAATCTTTTAAAATCACCTTCATGCGAAACTAACGATTCACCCGCTTAATTTTATTGGAATAAGCTCGATTGAAAAGCTCTAAATGCCATGTAAAAGTACTAAGAAGAATAATTACCAAAACGTGCTCTTGTTTGCTAAATCAATAAAATTATGGCGTAGCAACTTTCTTTTTCGGTTATTTTACTACACTTAAAAAGTTGTTATTTAAGTTTACTGGTCACGCACCTATCAGCAAATAACATTTTAAAAAATTAAATTTTACTTGCTCGGTAATTTAATTAAAAAAACAGCATGTAGCGATGTATTCATTTTAGACTAAAGTCAAAACATTTTAAACAGTTGTTTACCTTTGTCAATTGACTTGATCAATGAATATGCACAATTGAAGACTTGACGAAAATAAATTGCTTGTATATAAAGTTAAAGGTAATATATACACGTTGTCGTTGAAGACTTTATGAAAATGATTTGCTCGTGAATAGGATCACAGTTTATCTAGAATTGCACTGCGGGATCAAATTTTCTGCATGACAGCCTTGTGTTTTGGTAAAATGATACAAGTCACAAAATATGGTGCTGTATTTTGTTATTACACAACATTTTGCGCTTTTCCTCATTTTTCTGGCAATATATTTGATAATACTGACTGGTATTTTGTAATGTCATTCATGAAAAAGCAAATCCTTACGCACTCATGGAGTGCATTTTAAAAACGTGGAAATGAAATAATGGATTTTATGTCTAGACGTATTGCATGTTTTTTAGATGTAGATCATCCATGTTAGTACATTATAGTCTCCTCCCCACGGAACACTTCATACGAGTATTCCCATTCTTAGGGGGATAGGTAAGGTACACAAAACATCTAAATGTCTATCACTTCCAAAACATCCCCCTTCTGAATGTTATTACATTCGATGAGGTTACACAGTATTCAAGGTTAATATCAGAGGAACCAGTTGCGGCCTGGGCCCGAATGAATAGGAAGGTATATAAGTGACTAAGCCTAAATGAGCTGACTATTACTTAACGCAATAAAAAGCAGTGAGTCCTAAAATTTTTTTCTTTTGGTGTGTTCGTTGTTGCTTTTTGCTTTATCAGGGCTTCGTCTCAAGAAATTGTTCAAGACAATCATCGAAGGGTCGTCAATCGATTAGACTGCTGCGGATTTTAGGGGAGGAATTTGTTGAAATGTTCGAGTTGTTGCCCAATACGTTATCGAATCCTGTGTGTAATGATTCCACAACTTTAATCACCGTAAAGTCAAGTACGTCCTAGATGGTTTAAGAAATGGGTTCCGGCTGGGTTTTGATAAGTCGTTCTTATTTCCAAAATCAACTAAAGCCAACTGTTCGTCGGCGTTGGACCATCCGCATGTTATTGATGATTATATAGCTAAAGAAGATTCACTAATTTGCGTATTTCGCCCCACAAAAGAACCGGCACTAAAATCAATGCAAATTAATCGTTTCGGAGTCATTCCAGGAAGAAATGGGCGTTGTCGCCAAATTCTTGATCTTTCATTTCCTTTCGAACACAGCGTAAATGACGGTATAAATACAAAGGATTTTCCCTCAGGTATAGTAAAGTTTCGAATGCTATTGCTCTGATTATCAAGCCGGCAGAGGTATATTGAGGGACAAAGTGGACATCAAGAGCGCTTATTGCATTGTTCCCGTACACCCATCAGATCGCTACCTTTTAAAAATGATTTGGAAATAAAAGGATTAGATTTGACTCTGCCGTTCGGTTTACGCTCAGATCCGGATATTTTGACAGTTTTGCAGACTTATTTTATTGGTGCTTAGTACATAGTTGAGATGTTGCGGTTCTTTTGCATTATCTTGATGATTACTTCACTCTGGAACTACACGAGTCCAAAATTTGTGCGTTGCAGTTGAAAGCAATTGATAAAGCAGCTCGTGTGTTAGGCATTGCATTGGCCCTGGAAAATGTGTCGGCCCAACAACTTGCCTGACGTTTCTTGATTTGAGTTGTATTCGGTTGAAATGATTCCTCGATTGCCATTAGAGAAGCTTATGGAGTTGACGCAATTGGTCCAGGTCTGGAGTTCCGAACACTGGTGTCGGCTGAAAGGGCTTCAGTCATTCGTAGGAAAGCTAAGTCACGCGTATACTACATGGCCGTTCATTTCTTCGTTGTCTATTCAATCTGTTGTAAGGCTAAGATTATAAAAAATAGTATTTTATTAGATTGAATAAGGATTGAGGGTTGGATATTGCTTGGTGGCACTCCTTTCTGATGACTTTGAATGGGGTACATGTCTTTGATTTAAAGGACTGGAGAGAAATTTCAGACCTTAGTTTATCCACAGATGCATTGGGTGGTATGTAATACAGTGCATTCCTAAATGGCGAATGGTTCAAAGGGGAGTAGTCAGTTGGACAAAAAACCCTCAACATTGCATACAAAGAACTTTTCCCTTTTGTGGTTGCATGCCATGTGTGGGATGCAAGTTTGCAAAAAGAGCTTCGTGCAATTTCATTGCGACAATCAGAGTGTAGTTGCTGTTATTATATCTAGAACGTCTAAAAAGAGCCAACTTATAATTTTGTTACGAGAATTGTTTCTATGTGCAGCTCCCCACAATTTTAAGGTTTCTGCTAAGCATGTTGCCGGTAAAGACATTGGAATCGCTGATGCTTTGTCACGTTTTACATGCAGGTATTCCGCGAGCTAACACCACAGGTACAACACAAACTGCTAGCCCATCTGAACTGCAAAACCTTCAGCAGCAAACGCAAACGTTGATGTTTCAAGACATTGCTTCATCTACACGTCGCAAGTCCTTTAAAAAAGCAACAAATAATGCATATGACAAAGGTCCATTCTGTAGTCTAAGTGATAATTAAGCTCAAACTATTTTTTCAAGCAAAAACTGAAACAATAAAAAATAAATTGTAACTTTAAAGGTTTCATCACTGAATCTTTAATGCATCAGTATAGCATGCATTAATTATTAGAAACATTCAAACAACACTGTACTAAAAAATCACATATGCACCGAGTCTTCGTTAATCTTAGTACTAATGTTTACATAAACAAAATTTTATAATTATCCTTTTACATGTTTGTAAGTTGACATTTTATCAAGCATCAAAACGCACACAACCATCTTGCTATCTGTCTTTGGTTCTTGAACTTTAACTTCAAAGCATTCAAGGCATCCTTAGTGAATCCATTGTCTACATTCATAGAATTTGACCATGTTCAAATAAATAACTCTGGATAAGGAAGACAATGATCTTTTCAGCATTATAATGTTTTTGTAAGTCTCTGCCTGGTCAGTAACATTTTCCAGTCATCTTTGCTCCTTGATCTTCCCCGCATGTTGTCAGCAAATAGAACATAACAAGCTCTGCTCCAAATTATGAGTACTGTTTGGGCTGATCATTTCTTTTTGAAGTCGAGAACAGATTAGTGCAAACTCAAGAGCAAAAGTTGATACTTTCACAAAGGTTTCGAGGTTTGCATAAGCCTGCAAACACAAAAAACATCTTTTATTTCTTTTTCGGCAATGCAAAACAGTTAAATTTAAAAAATTTTAATTTTGCTATCAAATTGTTCAGAAACAGCAAATCAGTATTTCTGCAAAGCTGCTCTAACATTTCAACTCAGAGCAAGATCCTTACCCTCTTAAATTTTTATGTTATAAAAACCGTTCATGACTAGATTCATATTTATTCTCTTTCTTGGTAAGTAAACAATTTGATTCGAAGCAGTTCATGCATACTAATCAATTTGAGTTTTTTAATATGTGGTAGAAGATATGCCTCTGTGTGTTTTCAGTCTCAAAAAATATGTTTTTATCAAGCATCAAAACGAACAAAACCATCTTGCTATGAGGGTTCTTGAACTTTAACTTCAAAGCATTCAAGGTCCTTAGTGAATCCATTTGTTTATCTTGTGAATTTGACCATTTCAAATAAAATGTTAACTCTAGAAGTTCTAGAGTATTATGTATTCCGCAGCGTTTAGGGATGGTGCAAGGCTTTCGACGTCAGAATCAGGCTGTCAAATTCAAACGATAGTCAAATTCATAGGCATGCTAATGAGTCCCTAATTGATAGTTATAAAATACGCTTATTATCCATCCTAAATTTTAGGAAATTGCATTTCCGAGACAGTAGAAATCAAAATTTCCGAAGGAGCATGCCCCTGGACTTTCTTATACGGCTTTTCTGATATTTTGCCTTGACAAAGTCAATGAATGAACGGAAGCGACATCAATTTTTTTTTGAAAATAGACAAGTTGAAATTGTCACAACACAGAATATTACTAATTATTTGAAAATCATTTTTCAGCTTTGCTGGCATACAAAGTTGTCAAATGATGACATCATTGATCTCACTCCTTATGAAAGTAGCAACACAAGAGCAATTATCAAAGTTTTCCGTTGTTAAATTAATTCTTAATGAATCAATAATAAAATTGAGCTGTTATTTTTTTGAGCTGTCGTAGTATAAGTTCCTCACACGAACTATAAATCAGGTGTTTTACAAAACAGTAAAGGAACACTATTGATTATTTAAATTAATATTATATCATTCAACAATTAAATATTGAGCAAATAACATTGTACTTATTTTTAGTTTCAATGAAATGTACTTAATTTATTATAGTACAAATATCTTTGACAGCAAACAAAATCTGGATAGTAATATCTACAGACTGTCTCATTTTTGCACGAACGACGTAAATTCCTCTTCCTTCGGAGGATGTCGGCATCGGCCCAAAAGGTTTGTCTAAAAACAGACAGGAATAATTAGCATCAGTAAAATTTTAACCGAAATAAATTATATACCTTTTTATACCGATTGTCGAAAACATGGTTGAACATTCCTCCATAAATTAGGGATGTTCTACGTGTCGACAAAATCGTGAGAAAATTCTAATAGGTTTTCTCAAAACATAAGAAGGTCAAGCTCATATCTTATTTACTTAGAGATACCCTTGCAACAACAATGAATGAAAAAATTTATCAAGAGTTTTTAAGATGTCAAAATACTACATGCATATTAATTTTCACTGAGAATCAGCAAACAACAACGTAGGACAAATCTATAAAAGTCGTCAATGGGTCGTGCAAATTCACAATATAATATATAACAACAGGAAAAGTAGCAAGGAAAAATATCAAAAGCCTGCACTTGTGAAATCAAAAATCAAATTTTTGCTTCAATGCTCTCATTTTGAGCTCTTTTACGATGTTTTTAAACGGAGGCACGCCATAGCTAAATTAATTTGTGATTTTAAGTTTATGCAAGTTTTACCAATGTGTATAGTGGTGTCGCTATGGGGAGGCCTGTCGGATGGGGCAAGTGCCCACCCTAACTTGAATTTTGGGAAAGGCGTCTTAAGACTTAAGCAACTTTACAAAGTTTGTCTAAATATCACGTCGAATTTTTATGATAAACGAACACACACAGTCAATGTAATTGTCTAACATTTAGATCAAAAAGTCACGTGCAAAATTTACGAATCATCTCATTGTTACACCAACATAATAAGCTTGTATCTCTGTTGATTGAGCATGGACAAAATTGAAGACTTAGCTTGGATAACATGCTGGCAAAAAAAAGGCAGTATGTATTAACAATTAACATTACAACCTCGCTCCCCCTTCTTATCTTGCAATTAAATTTACCTGGTTTATCGACATATTCCCAGAAAGTGACAGGCGATGTTTTTGCAAATTGAACAAATGCCAATAAAAGCATGATGCACTTCAAAGAATTCATTTCGTCGATGCTAGAATATAAAGATAAAAACAAGGCGCCTATCAGGAATTCACTCAGGCGACTCGAGATCAGTGTTTAATTTTTGTTGCCAAATAGCACGACAAAATTCACGCGACCTTCATGCGTGAAGCAACGATCAAAGAAGAGTTTTAATTTTAAGGGTTTTATGTCAGTCACGCGCTATTTATCTATTCTCGCGACAGTGCACGAAAAGCCGAAATTCAAACTCTCGTTCGCTTTCAGTTTTCCCAAGTAATAAAAACTTCAGCTTACATTTGTTAACGGATTATTTTGAACTTCACAAAGAAGTAAATTAAAGTATATAAGATGTCTTACAAATTGGATCAAGGAATGGTCAAGCGATCATTTGATCGACAAAAATTCAAAACAGTCCACTTGATAAAATTATTTTGATAGATTTATAGTTAATGTAGCTATGTATTGCTGGATCAAATTTTTTGGATGACAGTCTTGTGTTAGGAAGAAAGTGCCGTGATAAAATCATGCTGATCACATGCTGTGTTAATTTTCATCTCAAATTTTTTCTCCAACTATATGCTTCAAACCACCTTTTCAAGTTAAAAAAATGCAACACAATTAGCTAGCTATACCCAGTAAACAAAAAAATTTTAAAGAAGTTTAATAAACGTTTTATATGAGGTTCTAATGAGTAAGAAAATGTCTTTTATCATTCATATTATTTTATTACATTCATATTGGTCGTGTTAAAATACGAGTCAAATTTTTTCATAATGGTTTTGTGTTTGGGGAGTGTCATAATAAAATTATGCCAGTTACAAAATTCATTAATTTCATCACAAATTGTTTCTACAACGATGTGCTTTGTTTAAGCATTTTAGCAATATAAAAAAAATCACGACATAAGTTGCCACGCACGGATATTACAATCAAAACAAAATTGAAGTTCTATACATGTTTCATCAACCTTTTAGCTGTAGAGTTTTTCCGTGTTTCCAGTTCTTTTGCTTTTGTTGATGCGAGTAAACGCTGACAAGGGTTAATATAAAGAGGTTACCGTTCAATGAAGGATTCTGAAGATCAAATTTTACATTAGCTTCATTTCATTTAAGACATAAATATTTTACTGTGATTGCACAGACTTCTACAAACCGAGTAGACATTTACAACAACTCCGAAGCTGACCGAAGGCTTACTCGCGATGCAATTCCCTGTACATTGGCGAAACTTCCCGTAAATTGTCCTCAAGAGTCGGGAACGTACCACACATGATTGACATATAATTCATCTATCGATCAAAATCTTTAAAATCACCTTCATGCGAAACTAACGATTCACCCGCTTAATTTTATTGGAATAAGCTCGATTGAAAAGCTCTAAATGCCATGTAAAAGTACTTAGAAGAATAATTACCAAAACGTGCTCTTGTTTGCTAAATCAATAAAATTATGGCGTAGCAACTTTCTTTTCGGTTATTTTACTACACTTAAAAGTTGTTATTCAAGTTTACTGGTCACGCACCTATCAGCAAATAACATTTTAAAAATTAAATTTTACTTGCCTGGTAATTTAATTAAAAACAGCATGTAGCGATGTATTCATTTTAGACTAAAGTCAAAACATTTTAAACAGTTGTTTACCTTTGTCAATTGACTTGATCAATGAATATGCACAATTGAAGACTTGACGAAAATAAATTGCTTGTATATAAAGTTAAAGGTAATATATACACGTTGTCGTTGAAGACTTTATGAAAATGATTTGCTCGTGAATAGGATCACAGTTTATCTAGAATTGCACTGCGGGATCAAATTTTCTGCATGACAGCCTTGTGTTTTGGTAAAATGATACAAGTCACAAAATATGGTGCTGTATTTTGTTATTACACAACATTTTGCACTTTTCCTCATTTTTCTGGCAATATATTTGATAATACTGACTGGTATTTTGTAATGTCATTCATGAAAAGAAATCCTTACGCACTCATGGAGTGCATTTTAAAACGTGGAAATGAAATAATGGATTTTATGTCTAGACGTATTGCATGTTTTTTAGATGTAGATCATCCATGTTAGTACATTATAGTCTCCTCCCCACGGAACACTTCATACGAGTATTCCCATTCTTAGGGGGATAGGTAAGGTACACAAAACATCTAAATGTCTATCACTTCCAAAACATCCCCCTTCTGAATGTTATTACATTCGATGAGGTTACACAGTATTCAAGGTTAATATCAGAGGAACCAGTTGCGGCCTGGGCCCGAATGAATAGGAAGGTATATAAGTGACTAAGCCTAAATGAGCTGACTATTACTTAACGCAATAAAAAGCAGTGAGTCCTAAAATTTTTTTCTTTTGGTGTGTTCGTTGTTGCTTTTTGCTTTATCAGGGCTTCGTCTCAAGAAATTGTTCAAGACAATCATCGAAGGGTCGTCAATCGATTAGACTGCTGCGGATTTTAGGGGAGGAATTTGTTGAAATGTTCGAGTTGTTGCCCAATACGTTATCGAATCCTGTGTGTAATGATTCCACAACTTTAATCACCGTAAAGTCAAGTACGTCCTAGATGGTTTAAGAAATGGGTTCCGGCTGGGTTTTGATAAGTCGTTCTTATTTCCAAAATCAACTAAAGCCAACTGTTCGTCGGCGTTGGACCATCCGCATGTTATTGATGATTATATAGCTAAAGAAGATTCACTAATTTGCGTATTTCGCCCCACAAAAGAACCGGCACTAAAATCAATGCAAATTAATCGTTTCGGAGTCATTCCAGGAAGAAATGGGCGTTGTCGCCAAATTCTTGATCTTTCATTTCCTTTCGAACACAGCGTAAATGACGGTATAAATACAAAGGATTTTCCCCTCAGGTATAGTAAAGTTTCGAATGCTATTGCTCTGATTATCAAGCCGGCAGAGGTATATTGAGGGACAAAGTGGACATCAAGAGCGCTTATTGCATTGTTCCCGTACACCCATCAGATCGCTACCTTTTAAAAATGATTTGGAAATAAAAGGATTAGATTTGACTCTGCCGTTCGGTTTACGCTCAGATCCGGATATTTTTGACAGTTTTGCAGACTTATTTTATTGGTGCTTAGTACATAGTTGAGATGTTGCGGTTCTTTTGCATTATCTTGATGATTACTTCACTCTGGAACTACACGAGTCCAAAATTTGTGCGTTGCAGTTGAAAGCAATTGATAAAGCAGCTCGTGTGTTAGGCATTGCATTGGCCCCTGGAAAATGTGTCGGCCCAACAACTTGCCTGACGTTTCTTGATTTGAGTTGTATTCGGTTGAAATGATTCCTCGATTGCCATTAGAGAAGCTTATGGAGTTGACGCAATTGGTCCAGGTCTGGAGTTCCGAACACTGGTGTCGGCTGAAAGGGCTTCAGTCATTCGTAGGAAAGCTAAGTCACGCGTATACTACATGGCCGTTCATTTCTTCGTTGTCTATTCAATCTGTTGTAAGGCTAAGATTATAAAAAATAGTATTTTATTAGATTGAATAAGGATTGAGGGTTGGATATTGCTTGGTGGCACTCCTTTCTGATGACTTTGAATGGGGTACATGTCTTTGATTTAAAGGACTGGAGAGAAATTTCAGACCTTAGTTTATCCACAGATGCATTGGGTGGTATGTAATACAGTGCATTCCTAAATGGCGAATGGTTCAAAGGGAGTAGTCAGTTGGACAAAAAACCCTCAACATTGCATACAAAGAACTTTTCCCTTTTGTGGTTGCATGCCATGTGTGGGATGCAAGTTTGCAAAAAGAGCTTCGTGCAATTTCATTGCGACAATCAGAGTGTAGTTGCTGTTATTATATCTAGAACGTCTAAAAAGAGCCAACTTATAATTTTGTTACGAGAATTGTTTCTATGTGCAGCTCCCCACAATTTTAAGGTTTCTGCTAAGCATGTTGCCGGTAAAGACATTGGAATCGCTGATGCTTTGTCACGTTTTACATGCAGGTATTCCGCGAGCTAACACCACAGGTACAACACAAACTGCTAGCCCATCTGAACTGCAAAACCTTCAGCAGCAAACGCAAACGTTGATGTTTCAAGACATTGCTTCATCTACACGTCGCAAGTCCTTTAAAAAAGCAACAAATAATGCATATGACAAAGGTCCATTCTGTAGTCTAAGTGATAATTAAGCTCAAACTATTTTTTCAAGCAAAAACTGAAACAATAAAAAATAAATTGTAACTTTAAAGGTTTCATCACTGAATCTTTAATGCATCAGTATAGCATGCATTAATTATTAGAAACATTCAAACAACACTGTACTAAAAAATCACATATGCACCGAGTCTTCGTTAATCTTAGTACTAATGTTTACATAAACAAAAATTTTATAATTATCCCTTTTTACATGTTTGTAAGTTGACATTTTATCAAGCATCAAAACGCACACAACCATCTTGCTATCTGTCTTTGGTTCTTGAACTTTAACTTCAAAGCATTCAAGGCATCCTTAGTGAATCCATTGTCTACATTCATAGAATTTGACCATGTTCAAATAAATAACTCTGGATAAGGAAGACAATGATCTTTTCAGCATTATAATGTTTTTGTAAGTCTCTGCCTGGTCAGTAACATTTTCCAGTCATCTTTGCTCCTTGATCTTCCCCGCATGTTGTCAGCAAATAGAACATAACAAGCTCTGCTCCAAATTATGAGTACTGTTTGGGCTGATCATTTCTTTTTGAAGTCGAGAACAGATTAGTGCAAACTCAAGAGCAAAAGTTGATACTTTCACAAAGGTTTCCGAGGTTTGCATAAGCCTTTGCAAACACAAAAAAAACATCTTTTATTTCTTTTTCATGATAACAGCAATGCAAAACAGTTAAATTTAAAAAAAATTCTTAATTTTTGCTATAAAAATGTATTGATGATTGATTAACAAATTGTTCACCTCTCTAAGAAACATTTTACATCACTCTCCCATAATTTTTAGCAAAACAAATCAGTATTACATTACAGCTAAACTGAGTTGCTCTGGCTACATTCCAACTCTGTAAACTACCTTAGGTGGCTACACTGACTGCCCCTAAGATCCTTACCCTCTTAAATTTTTAGCACCACCACTGTAAAAAATATAAAAATCCGTTCATGAAAGAGTTAGATTCGTATTTATTCGCTTTCTTGGTAGCAGCTCAAACAATTTGATTGCAAACCAGTTCATGCACGTACTAATAAATTTGAGTTAGCCTTTTGTAAAATAATGGTTGAAGCTATACATGCCCAAGAGGTCTGTAATCCAATTAGGAAAGTTTTCAGGTCTCAAAAAAATATGTTTTTCCTCCTTTCAGCAATGAGAACAAAGAGCTTTTAGGTATGAGGGATTTGAAGATTTTCAATAGTTTTTTATTCCCCTTCAGAAGAGCATATTGTTTATCTTGTGCAATTTTCGGCACCTTTACCCTATAAAATGTTTTAGAAGTTCTAGAGTATTATGTATTCCGCAGCGTTTAGGGATGGTGCAAGGCTTTCGACGTCAGAATCAGGCTGTCAAATTCAAACGATAGTCAGATTCATAGGCATGCTAATGAGTCCCTAATTGATAGTTATAAAATACGCTTATTATCCATTCTAAATTTTAGGAAATTGCATTTCCGAGACAGTAGAAATCAAAATTTCCGAAGGAGCATGCCCCTGGACTTTCTTATACGGCTTTTCTGATATTTTGCCTTGACAAAGTCAATGAATGAACGGAAGCGACATCAATTTTTTTTTGAAAATAGACAAGTTGAAATTGTCACAACACAGAATATTACTAATTATTTGGAAGAATCATTTTTCAGCTTTGCTGGCATACAAAGTTGTCAAATGATGACATCATTGATCTCACTCCTTATGAAAGTAGCAACACAAGAGCAATTATCAAAGTTTTCCGTTGTTAAATTAATTCTTAATGAATCAATAATAAAATTGAGCTGTTATTTTTTTGAGCTGTCGTAGTATAAGTTCCTCACACGAACTATAAATCAGGTGTTTTTACAAAACAGTAAAGGAACACTATTGATTATTTAAATTAATATTATATCATTCAACAATTAAATATTGAGCAAATAACATTGTACTTATTTTTAGTTTCAATGAAATGTACTTAATTTATTATAGTACAATCATCGTTTGACACAGCAAACAAAATGGGGATTATAATATCTACAGACTGTCTCATTTTTTTTGCACGAACGACGTATAATTCCCATTCCTTCTGAGGTATGTCGGCATCGGCATCCCCCAAAAGGTTTGTCTAAAAAAACAGACAGAAATAATTGGCATCAGTAAGAATTTTAACCAAAAGAAAAATATTTACTTTTTTTTTATACCGATTGTGACAAACATGGGTGAACATTCCTCCATAAATTAGGGATGTTCTACGTGTCGACAAAATCGTGAGAAAATTCTAATAGGTTTTCTCAAAACATAAGAAGGTGGAGCTCATATCTTATTTACTTAGAGATACCCTTGCAACAACAATGAATGAAAAAAATTTATCAAGAGTTTTTTAAGATGTCAAAATACTACATGCATATTAATTTTCACTGAGAATCAGCAAACAACAACGTAGGAAAAATCTATAAAAGTCGTCAATGGGTCGTGCAAATTCACAATATAATATATATAACAACAGGAAAAAGTAGCAAGGAAAAAAATATCAAAAGCCTGCACTTGTGAAATCAAAAATCAAATTTTTGCTTCAATGCTCTCATTTTGAGCTCTTTTACGATGTTTTTAAACGGAGGCACGCCATAGCTAAATTAATTTGTGATTTTAAGTTTATGCAAGTTTTACCAATGTGTATAGTGGTGTCGCTATGGGGAGGCCTGTCGGATGGGGCAAGTGCCCACCCTAACTTGAATTTTGGGAAAGGCGTCTTAAGACTTAAGCAACTTTACAAAGTTTGTCTAAATATCACGTCGAATTTTTATGATAAACGAACACACACAGTCAATGTAATTGTCTAACATTTAGATCAAAAAGTCACGTGCAAAAATTTACGAATCCTCTCATTGTTACACCAACATAATAAGCTTGTATCTCTGTTGATTGAGCATGGACAAAAATTGAAGACTTAGCTTGGATAACATGCTGGCAAAAAACAGGCAGTATGTATTAACAATTAACATTACAACCTCGCTCCCCCTTCTTATCTTGCAATTAAATTTACCTGGTTTATCGACATATTCCCAGAAAGTGACAGGCGATGTTTTTGCAAATTGAACAAATGCCAATAAAAGCATGATGCACTTCAAAGAATTCATTTCGTCGATGCTAGAATATAAAGATAAAAACAAGGCGCCTATCAGGAATTCACTCAGGCGACTCGAGATCAGTGTTTAATTTTTGTTGCCAAATAGCACGACAAAATTCACGCGACCTTCATGCGTGAAGCAACGATCAAAGAAGAGTTTTAATTTTAAGGGTTTTATGTCAGTCACGCGCTATTTATCTATTCTCGCGACAGTGCACGAAAAGCCGAAATTCAAACTCTCGTTCGCTTTCGGTTTTTCCCAAGTAATAAAAAAACTTCAGCTTACATTTGTTAACGGATTATTTTGAACTTCACAAAGAAGTAAATTAAAGTATATAAGATGTCTTACAAATTGGATCAAGGAATGGTCAAGCGATCATTTGATCGACAAAAAATTCAAAACAGTCCACTTGATGAAATTATTTTGATAGATTTATAGTTAATGTAGCTATGTATTGCTGGATCAAATTTTTTGGATGACAGTCTTGTGTTAGGAAGAAAGTGCCGTGATAAAATCATGCTGATCACATGCTGTGTTAAATTTCATCTCAAATTTTTTCTCCAACTATATGCTTCAAACCACCTTTTCAAGTTAAAAAAATGCAACACAATTAGCTAGCTATACCCAGTAAACAAAAAAATTTTAAAGAAGTTTAATAAACGTTTTATATGAGGTTCTAATGAGTAAGAAAATGTCTTTTATCATTCATATTATTTTATTACATTCATATTGGTCGTGTTAAAATACGAGTCAAATTTTTTCATAATGGTTTTGTGTTTGGGGAGTGTCATAATATAATTATGCCAGTTACAAAATTCATTAATTTCATCACAAATTGTTTCTACAACGATGTGCTTTGTTTAAGCATTTTAGCAATATAAAAAAAATCACGACATAAGTTGCCACGCACGGATATTACAATCAAAACAATATTAAGTTCTATACATGTTTCATCAACCTTTTAGCTGGAGAGTTTTTCCGTGTATCCAGTCCTTTTGCTTTTGTTACTGCGTGTAAACGCTGAAAAGGGTTAATATATAGAGGTAACCGTTCAATGAAGGATTCTGAAGATCAAATTTTACATTAGCTTCATTTCATTTAAGACATAAATATTTTACTGTGATTGCACAGACTTCTACAAACCGAGTAGACATTTACAACAACTCCGAAGCTGACCGAAGGCTTACTCGCGATGCAATTCCCTGTACATTGGCGAAACTTCCCGTAAATTGTCCTCAAGAGTCGGGAACGTACCACACATGATTGACATATAATTCATCTATCGATCAAAATCTTTTAAAATCACCTTCATGCGAAACTAACGATTCACCCGCTTAATTTTATTGGAATAAGCTCGATTGAAAAGCTCTAAATGCCATGTAAAAGTACTTAGAAGAATAATTACCAAAACGTGCTCTTGTTTGCTAAATCAATAAAATTATGGCGTAGCGACTTTCTTTTTCGGTTATTTTACTACACTTAAAAAGTTGTTATTCAAGTTTACTGGTCACGCACCTATCAGCAAATAACATTTTACAAAATTAAATTTTACTTGCCTGGTAATTTTATTAAAAAAACAGCATGTAGCGATGTATTCATTTTAGACTAAAGTCAAAACATTTTAAACAGTTGTTTACCTTTGTCAATTGACTTGATCAATGAATATGCACAATTGAAGACTTGACGAAAATAAATTGCTTGTATATAAAGTTAAAGGTAATATATACACGTTGTCGTTGAAGACTTTATGAAAATGATTTGCTCGTGAATAGGATCACAGTTTATCTAGAATTGCACTGCGGGATCAAATTTTCTGCATGACAGCCTTGTGTTTTGGTAAAATGATACAAGTCACAAAATATGGTGCTGTATTTTGTTATTACACAACATTTTGCACTTTTCCTCATTTTTCTGGCAATATATTTTATAATACTGACTGGTATTTTGTAATGTCATTCATGAAAAAGAAATTCCTTACGCACTCATGGAGTGCATTTTAAAAACGTGGAAATGAAATAATGGATTTTATGTCTAGACGTATTACATGTTTTTTAGATGTAGATCATCCATGTTAGTCCATTATAGTCTCCTCCCCACGGAGCACTTCATACGAGTATTCCCATTCTTAGGGGGATAGGTAAGGTAAACAAAACATCTAAATGTCTATCACTTCCAAAACATCCCCCTTCTGAATGTTATTACATTCGATGAGGTACACAGTATTCAAGGTTAATATCAGAGGAACCAGTTGCGGCCTGGGCCCGAATGAATAGGAAGGTATATAAGTGACTAAGCCTAAATGAGCTGACTATTACTTAACGCAATAAAAAGCAGTGAGTCCTAAAATTTTTTTCTTTTGGTGTGTTCGTTGTTGCTTTTTGCTTTATCAGGGCTTCGTCTCAAGAAATTGTTCAAGACAATCATCGAAGGGTCGTCAATCGATTAGACTGCTGCGGATTTTAGGGGAGGAATTTGTTGAAATGTTCGAGTTGTTGCCCAATACGTTATCGAATCCTGTGTGTAATGATTCCACAACTTTAATCACCGTAAAGTCAAGTACGTCCTAGATGGTTTAAGAAATGGGTTCCGGCTGGGTTTTGATAAGTCGTTCTTATTTCCAAAATCAACTAAAGCCAACTGTTCGTCGGCGTTGGACCATCCGCATGTTATTGATGATTATATAGCTAAAGAAGATTCACTAATTTGCGTATTTCGCCCCACAAAAGAACCGGCACTAAAATCAATGCAAATTAATCGTTTCGGAGTCATTCCAGGAAGAAATGGGCGTTGTCGCCAAATTCTTGATCTTTCATTTCCTTTCGAACACAGCGTAAATGACGGTATAAATACAAAGGATTTTTCCCTCAGGTATAGTAAAGTTTCGAATGCTATTGCTCTGATTATCAAGCCGGCAGAGGTATATTGAGGGACAAAGTGGACATCAAGAGCGCTTATTGCATTGTTCCCGTACACCCATCAGATCGCTACCTTTTAAAAATGATTTGGAAATAAAAGGATTAGATTTGACTCTGCCGTTCGGTTTACGCTCAGATCCGGATATTTTCGACAGTTTTGCAGACTTATTTTATTGGTGCTTAGTACATAGTTGAGATGTTGCGGATCTTTTGCATTATCTTGATGATTACTTCACTCTGGAACTACACGAGTCCAAAATTTGTGCGTTTCAGTTGAAAGCAATTGATAAAGCAGCTCGTGTGTTAGGCATTGCATTGGCCCCTGGAAAATGTGTCGGCCCAACAACTTGCCTGACGTTTCTTGATTTGAGTTGTATTCGGTTGAAATGATTGCTCGATTGCCATTAGAGAAGCTTATGGAGTTGACGCAATTGGTCCAGGTCTGGCGTTCCGAACACTGGTGTCGGCTGAAAGGGCTTCAGTCCTTCGTAGGAAAGCTAAGTCACGCGTATACTACATGGCCGTTCATTTCTTCGTTGTCTATTCAATCTGTTGTAAGGCTAAGATTATAAAAAATAGTATTTTATTAGATTGAATAAGGATTGAGGGTTGGTTATTGCTTGGTGGCACTCCTTTCTGATGACTTTGAATGGGTTACATGTCTTTGATTTAAAGGACTGGAGAGAAATTTCAGACCTTAGTTTATCCACAGATGCATTGGGTGGTATGTAATACAGTGCATTCCTAAATGGCGAATGGTTCAAAGGGAGTAGTCAGTTGGACAAAAACCTCAACATTGCATACAAAGAACTTTTCCCTTTGTGGTTGCATGCCATGTGTGGGATGCAAGTTTGCAAAGAGCTTCGTGCAATTTCATTGCGACAATCAGAGTGTAGTTGCTGTTATTATATATAGAACGTCTAAAAAGAGCCAACTTATAATTTTGTTACGAGAATTGTTTCTATGTGCAGCTCCCCACAATTTTAAGGTTTCTGCTAAGCATGTTGCCGGTAAAGACATTGGAATCGCTGATGCTTTGTCACGTTTTACATGCAGGTATTCCGCGAGCTAACACCACAGGTACAACACAAACTGCTAGCCCATCTGAACTGCAAAACCTTCAGCAGCAAACGCAAACGTTGATGTTTCAAGACATTGCTTCATCTACACGTCGCACGTTCTTTAAAAAAATCAAAAAATAATGCATATGACAAAGGTCCATTCTGTACACTAAGTGATAAATAAGCTCAAACTATTTTTTCAAGCAAAAACTGAAACAATAAAAAATAAATTGTAACTTTAAAGGTTTCATCACTGAATCTTTATTGCATCAGTATAGCATGCATTAATTATTAGAAACATTCAAAAAACAGTGTACTAAAAAATCACATATGCACCGAGTCTTCGTTAATCTTAGTACTAATGTTTACATAAACAAAAATTTTATACTTATCCCATTTTACATGTTTGTAAGTTGACATTTTAGCAAGCATCAAAACGCACACAACCATCTTGCTATCTGTCTTTGGTTCTTGAACTTTAACTTCAAAGCATTCAAGGCATCCTTAGTGAATCCATTGTCTACATTCATAGAATTTGACCATGTTCAAATAAATAACTCTGGATAAGGAAGACAATGATCTTTTCAGCATTATAATGTTTTTGTAAGTCTCTGCCTGGTCAGTAACATTTTCCAGTCATCTTTGCTCCTTGATCTTCCCCGCATGTTGTCAGCAAATAGAACATAACAAGCTCTGCTCCAAATTATGAGTACTGTTTGGGCTGATCATTTCTTTTTGAAGTCGAGAACAGATTAGTGCAAACTCAAGAGCAAAAGTCGATACTTTCAAAAAGGTTTCCGAGGTTTGCATAAGCCTTTGTAAACACAAAAAAAACATCTTTTATTTCCTTTTCATGATAACAGTAGTGCAAAACAGTTAAATTTAAAAAAATTTCTTAATTTTTGCTATAAAAATGTATTGATGATTGATTAACAAATTGTTCACCTCTCTAAGAAACATTTTACATCACTACCCATAATTTTTAGCAAAACAAATCAGTATTACAGCTAAACAGAGTTGCTCTTGCATGGCTATGATTCAACTCTGTAAACTACCTTGGGTGGTCTACACTACTGACTGCCCCGAAGATCATTACTCCCCTTAAATTTTTAGCACCTCCTGTAGTGATTATTACATGAAGTACACCCACCTTAGTAACCGCGCCTAGTTTAAGATAATTACTTATAAAGAGACATTTTGTAGATTTTAATTTAGTGTTGAGTAAAGCCTTATTTCGAAAGGTTGTTCTTTGGTGTTTACTTGAATTCAAACTTCTACTTCAATTTACTCAACACTTACCTTATACCTATGGATAAAGTTTTGAGAACTGAACGGTTTGATGTTATTCCGAACGCGCAAGGCGCTGCAAAACGTTGGACGCACTGGCTCGCGACATTTGAGAACTTCATCGATGCAATACCGTCCATTCCTGATACACGAATAAATAAACTACACATTCTGGTGAATTATGTCACCTCTGATGTTTATCAACTGTTCTGTGATAGTGAAACCTACGATGAAGCCATCACCACGCTGAAAACCTTATATGTCAAGCCTCCGAACGAGATTTTTTTCTCGGCATAAATTAGCAACACGAAACAACAAGCAGGCGAAACCCTTGACGAATACCTTCAAGAACTGAAACACCTAAGTAAAGACTGCAATTTTCGTCAAGTCTCTGCTGCTCAATATCGGGATGAAGCAATTCGGGATGCTTTCATTAGTGGTCTATTGTCGGGAAGCATTCGACAACGTTTACTGGAGAATAAACAGTTGGATTTACAAACGGCATTTGATCAAGCTCGAGCTTGGGATTTGGCACAAAAATCATCGGAGACATACAATTCGAATCCCTTCACAAGCGCTGCTGTTACGGCATCTAACGGACATGACGAAAATAATGAAGAAGGACTAAGCGAGAGGTATTTAGCCTCCACTTCACGTTCCGCTAAGTGCTTCTTTTGTGGTAATAAGCAACATCCCCGGTCACTATGCCCTGCGAAAGAAGCTATTTGTAATAAATGTAAAAAAAGAGGGCACTACCAAAGAGTTTGCCGTTCTTCAGCAGTAGTCTCTAATTTAACGCAATCAGCTTACATAACTCTAGCTGCAATGGGGGGAGTCATTGCTAAGTTCATGTATTGACATTCGTTTAAAAGAAAGAACTGTTACAGCTCTGGTAGATTCAGGAAGTACTCATTGCTTCATACATCCTGATTTGGTTGAGCAACTTTCATTGACAGTTCATCAGACCAAAGAAAAAGTTACGATGGCTACATGTAATTATTCCACAAAAATGCAAGGATATTGTCTTAGTGATATAACGTTAAAAGGCCGGTTGTATTCTCAGGTTAAGCTATATATTCTACCCAATCTGTGTACTCATGTTATTCTAGGGCAAACTTGGCAAGCCCTGCACGAAAGTGTCACTATCCAGTACGGTGGTTCTGCCCCTCCTTTGAAACTTTGCAGTTTAACAGCTTTGAACCTAGACCCCCCACTTTTGTTCCAACATTTAACAGAGGGTTGTAAACCGATAGCTATTAAGTCAAGGAAATATAGCCGAGAAGACAAAGAATATATTACAACTGAAGTACAAAGGCTTCTAGATGAAGGTATAATTGAACCGAGTGAATCACCGTGGAGAGCACAAGTGGTCGTAACTAGAAACGATCGACAAAAAAAAATATTAGTGATTGACTACTCGCAAACTATAAATAGATTCACACACCTGAATGCTTATCCTTTGCCTAGAATAGATGATATCGTCTCTAAAATCGCTCAGTACAAAATTTTCAGCACCGTT